AGCTTCACAAAGCTTCGCAATTTCCGGGGCTCTGACCATTCCACTTAGCAGATGGCACTGAGAAATCCGTAAATATATCCCCCATCTAATCACTGCTGTCAAAAACAGGCCGGAGATGTCTATTCTGGTATTCCTCACGGGTCATACTCAGTAGCTTCTGATTTAAGTCTAGAAATACAGCACAGAGCGTGAAAGCGACATTCTATCTTTATATGGAATGTCTTTCAATTCGCGCATGCTTGTTGTGTTTTGTTGTTCGAGATCCACTCTGCTAATAAGAGAAAAGATCGATCGGCATATACAAGGCAAGTCAAAGGACCGCTTTACATCGATTTAGATTATATCCAGACTAGTTAAATGATCCAGAGGGGAGTTATTTCCAGACTTGATAGTTTATTGGTGAACCAATTCTGAAGGCTTCTACTACTTTTGTGTTGGTTTCTTCGAAAGTCGGATGGACTGGTAATAGCACCATCTTAGCTGGTCATGTGACGGAGATAGCTATTCTGATCTTGCCAAGTCCTGGGACTGTGGCTGTTTCTGTGAACAGCAGTATAGGAACAGTAGTGAAAGAGTGAGAGATGACGCAACTGAGTGAGTAGTAGTAAATCTCCATCTGGTGGACACGTCTCTGAGGCCATGATGTATCTAGACCCTGAGATGATCCTGATGCTGAGATGTGGTTTGTTGCTTGGCGAGTCTTTAATTAACTGTGGGTCAGGGTCTTGCTGGACAGAGCTAATGAATGCATCGCCTGCGTGGCCCTGAAGTTGTCCCAGTGATCTGCACGGCTATGATATCGGTGGGTTTTCCAGGTCATATTTAACAATAAAGACAGCCTCATCTGCTTGCTCCTGCGGTGAAAGGTCTATTCTCACTATTTGAAGTGACAGAATAGGCGGGTCAAGCTTTGTTTGTCAGGCCCTGGTCCAGGCTGCTTTTTTATTAATTATCTCCGTGCTCCCAGCGCCCACAGCGTTTGTTAATAATGTTGCTCTACCTGACTTAATTATTATTTCATTACCGGTTTACCATCAGCCTTCTCGAGTCACTGGTCGGAATATTCTGAGTAATATTAACTTAGATGTGAACAGTATTCTTTCTAGTCTTAGATCTGATCTGCCCTCCTGGGTTGTATTAGATATGCTTAACTACTTTCAGGGTTTCTTTACAAGAGATGTAGGAGTCAGCTTCTTGGGCTTGAATAATACTGAGCTGGCATTATAAGCTTCCTGATCTTTTATAAAGTCATGATTTTTGATGAGTTTTTATTTTTTTTTTTAAAATTAATAAATTTATTATCGCTCTAGGGATAATCTGTTCAGAATTAATTGAATTATTATATACATAAATTATAAGATTTATTATTCAGAAATAAATTCGCCATTCAATGATTTCTAAGAAATATTTCTATAATATTAACATTATATATAAATCTCCCGAGCGTTTATAAAGTCATGATTTGACCGATTCTCAAATGGTTACAGCTAGGTTCCTCCTTAAAGGATGTCGTTTATTCCTTAGACCTGCGGGATTGCTTTATTGACATAGCTGAGACTGTTTAGGAGGAGTGTCATACGAAATAATCAAACGATATAGAGATGAAAGTTTCCATTTCGACGATCCATGAATCAGAAGCAGAAAATTCCTTCCGCCTCAGGGTGACAGGAAGTACACAATCCTGCATCGCGCAGGATACGGTGGGATTTATATACTGTGTTGCGCTCGATACTAAAACGCATTATTTCAGGGACCACCCATTGCGGGAAGTGTCTGGAGAGGCTCTGCATATGGGTGTATTTAGCTTCTGGAGATTTTAGGAATCCATAGTGTTTTGTCAATCTATACTACATGGATCGATCCTTAGGCATGGTCCATAGCATCACTGGGTATATTGTCCGGTGGTATTCGCTATGCTGTCTTGCGATTATGACATTCATAATGATAATAATCAATGGGGGTGTGATATATTCGAGCAAGTCATGGGTCGGTCAATCAGGATACCTCAAGGGACATGTAAAAAGAAGAGAAAGGCTAGGATAGAGCCGAGGACCAGAAAGGAAGGAAGAAATGTTGTCTGGCACTAGAAGGGAAGACGATATCATCTAGCCCGGTCCAAGCCCAAGTGGAAGTCCGAGCCGGAGCCAGTTGGCATATAGGCTTTGGAAGAAAGGCTGCAGACCAAATAGGAACCAGCGAGAACTCAACAATGATAATAGATATATAGTGACTTGTACCCTGATACTATTAACTGTATATATGAGACACTCGCTGTTATATATCCTCCTAAATACATTTAAGCCAAGATGATCTAATTCTGGCTATTGAGAGTGAGTTATCAGAATAAAGGCCTTTGGCTGAATCATTAGATGATTATATAAATTCATCCATTACAAAAACTCTCTTCCTCATTACCAACTCCCTTGCCTCTGGGTCCGATAACGCGTAGTGTAGCACCGCATGCTTGCCATCTCCAACCTTCTCATACAGCATCGTTCGCACCCTCGCCTTCTCCGGCACATACCCATCAGCATCGGCTGCGTCCCCTTCTATCTTCACTATTTCCCGCAACATGTATAAGTATGACATCGAGTCATGCAGTCCTTCGCGATGCGGCCATGCGCGAAACAACCTCAACACACGCTCTCGGATACCCACATCGCGGCACTTGATCCCTACCGAAAACAGTGGGACGAAAGCCCCAATATCGGAGATGATGTTGGGAAGTGGCTGTTGCTTGTGGGCGTATTCCGTATAAAGACTGGCGACGATCTGCTCTGTCAAAATTACGGCTCGGGTCCATCGTGCTAGGAATCGGTCGTAGATGGTCTCGGTGAGATCAAGGAAGGTGGCGATATAGGTACTCATGACGATGTGACTGACGCGGATTGTATTGATAGCTCGAGTTTCCTTGGGTGAGTAGTGTTGGGCTTGGGACATGTATGTCTCGAAGGCGTTGATATGGCGTTGTATGTTACTGTATTGCCGTTGTTGCTCGACATAGAGAGGATAATGATCGGCAGAGCGATCTCGAAGCTCTGCTTCGCAGCGCGTCCAGAAGCGCACCATGCTATCAAGCAACGGTTCCAACGTATCCTTTGCTTCAATCAGACTGCGAATTTCTATACTGTCGTAATGCACCGTGGAGAGATGCGCATCCAACGGTTGCAACCTCATCACGGAATCCTCGCTGAAATGCGCCGCCTGGACCGTCAACTGCGCAAACATATGCGTGAAGACTGCGTCCTCTTCTCGCTCACTATCATTTTTCGGACCAGCGGGAAGGGATTTGAACATTGCTTCCCTCGCTTTCGGGCCAGTCTCATTCATAAGAATGTATATCCCATTTCTCAGATGCACCAACACGTTTCCGTAATTATCTTGCAATAAATCTAGCACCACAAAGATCACACAACACACCAACGCCGTGATCCGTAGCTGGGGATCCCCGGACCCGGACGCAAGGCGGCGACGAAGAACAGCAATCGCCCGCCCGTATTGCTCCAGTGCAAAGAGCTGATAATCGTGATTCATACCAGCTACACCCACAGTCGTAGTTTCGTGGAATGCCCCCAGCGCTGCGACGGCGTGTCCAACTGCCGGCTCCATCTGACTCATCCGTAGCACGATCCGTTGCCAGAGTTCCGAGTCACATAACCCGGTCAGCATGGGCATCGTATATGTCTGAAATAAGGCGAGACAGCGGCGCTCGTCGGCTGTCATACCGGGCAGGTTGGTGGAAATGTAATTGTGCAGGAGATTAGCGTGTCGAAGGCGCGCTTTTATGGGGAGCTGGAACTGCGGGGACCGGTCGCAAGTCCGACCTGTCGACGTGCAGTTCTTGCATGATGGTCCTGGTGTCTCGTCGCATTTAATCCGTCGTGCACGACACGTCCGGCACCCTGTTCGAGACCGCGGTGAGTACTTCTTCAGGCCTAGGGTTTTGGAGCCCATCGCGGGGAACACGTTGTAACATGTCCAATTCTGGCACTTGGTAGATGGTTAAAACCATTTAAAGAGTGAGAATTCGGGCCAAGCCCGATGGGGCGTTCAATTTCAATCCAATTCAGTTCATAGCCCTATACCCGATTGAGCCGGTGTGGTTAGAGACTAGCTATGCAGGGACTTCGTAAGAATATGGATTCAAATGCCTTCAAATCATGTAGCACTTACAGTAAACAATATTCACTATAATATGGGCGGGTTATTGCTAACATACAGGTTAGCTCAATATAATTAATAATAGGAATTAGTATATAGTTATATAATAATATTAATATAAACAATTATTACAGCCAGCCAGCTGCTTACAAGTCTGTTCTCTATGCTGTATCTATTATCTTATTTTTGATATATTTTATTCTTTTTTTTTTTTTTCATTTTACTTTCTCTACTAACTTGAACAGAATATATTTTATATTCTATCTTTTTCATATGATCTGTAGCTAGGACCTCCGGCGTGGCCCGCAAGGCGCAACAAACAAAACAAACGTAATAACTCACGTGACTTATGCGGGGAGGTCACGTGGTGAGACATGGGAGAATATAATTGTTAGGTATATCCATAGTAGGTTTTACTTTACCAAAATTGTTACTTTCTATATCTTCTGAGTACTGATATTTAGGAAGTATTCATGTATAGTTTTTTTTTAATTCCTGGAATATATCTAAAAGATTATGATCTCCTCTATCTATCTCTGTATTTCTATGATTACGGAATACTTTAACTGAAATGTTCTCTCCACCCAGAGTCCCGTGGCTTGCTTCTCCGGCAGCTTCATACATATTAATTTTAATAATTTCATTAATAACGAAGGATTACTCTGTGAACTCTGCGGTGTTAACCAGTAACTTGCGGAGTAGGATCTCGGCAATTCCCTCTGGATCAGGACGGACGCCATGTTCTCCGACAGTCATACAGTATCTATCTACAAGACTCATCAGATCTTATTTCAATGCTTCACGACTCATATAGCCTCTTGAACCAACTTTCATCACGCGCCAACAATTGCTGTGGGGCGCCACACTCCACTATTCGCCCGTCTGCCATCACCACCACCCTATCAAAATCCACGATAGTGTCTAGACGATGGGCGACCGCAATGATTGTACACACCCATCAAATTCGTGCCGGATGATCTCCTGCATGCGACGATCCGTCTCGATATCAACACTGCCACAGTAGCCCTCTTGTTAGCCCCCCTAATAATGGACCAGAACCCCCCTTCTCTAATTCTACTTACCTCGATGAAACCTCGTCCAACACTACAAGCCTGCTCTTCCGTAGTATGGCCCGCGCCAGGCAGAAAAGCTGCCACTGCCCTTGGCTGAAGAAATCTGTCTTCAAGATGGCATTTAATCCGCCCTTGGCCTCAATAACTGACCAGAGCTGACACTTCTCTAGCGCTCCAATGAGAATCGCATCATCCTGGCTGGTCGCCTCCCATGGGTCCAGATTGAAGCGTGCAGTTTCCGAATGTACGCAGAACGGCTCCTGGGTGATGATATTCAAGGACTGGCGGAGCTCCGATCGTGGGAGATGTGCCAGGTCTTGCCCGTCGACCTTCAATGTTCCCTGCCGATACTCCACTAGATGGAAGAGTGCAGCTAGGAGCGAGGACTTACCACTTCCCGTGCGGCCGCAGACTCCTATCTTCTCGCCAGGCTGGATGTGCAGGTCAATGTCTCGAAGAACAAGTGGCGCAGAATTGGTATAGGCTGCAGCAAAGTTATCAAACTCCACTGCTCCATACTGGGGCCACGCAGTCAGCGGCGAGTTGACCTCACTGTCCTTCTCTTCGGATTCAGTCTCCTCGACGAAATCACGAACCCGTGCCAGAGCACTGAGGGACGTCTCTGTCAAACTCCAAACAAGGACTAATTCGGATAGGTTCTCGTTGAAGCTCATGATATTCAACAGGCCCAGGCCCACGATTGCGGGGTGTACGGTATCGCGAAGCATGGCGATCGTACTGATGAGCACGGTGCCGAGCGCGGCAACCAAGAGATTCAACACAAGGCCAAGCCAGGCTTGCACAGCTTTGAGCAGGTACATCGGTCGTTGACTGTTGTCAAGGAGTATCGCATTGCGGGCTCGGAAAGCTCCCGTCCAGCCGAAGGCGCGAATACTAGCTAGGCCGGCAATGGTTTCTTGGAAGTGAGTGTATAAAGGTGCTTGTTGCTCTAGACGGAGAGTACGGAGCTGACGGGAGGTCTGGACATAAAATCGCTGAATACCAATGAGAGCCATCATGACCAGGGGAATAGTGACCAGTAGGTATGTAGCGGAGGCCACAATCATACACGCGCCGATAGTAAATATTGCCAGCTGTAACATCATCCCAATCAATACACCAGGAAGCTCATTGTCAATAACACTGAGATCCTGTGTAAAGCGGTTCAGCACGGTTCCGGAGTCTGTTGAGGTAAAGAATGATATGGGTGCCAGCAACACTGTGTGCAGAAGTTTTTGATGGAGACCGTTCGATACTCGGGGAATGACACGGAGGAATAAGCCCCAGACCAGGAGGGTGAGCGACATCAGTGAGACGACAGCTGCCAACCCGAGGCAGCCCAGAAACGACGAAGTAGATACGATGGTAGAATTGTTGCTTGGGCTGCTGAAAGCGTTCAAGAGCAACCCCGGTGCCTTGATCGCGGTGATGTACACCAGGCTCCATAGACAGCAGAGCCCCATCCACGACCAACTGGCCGCAGCAAAATAGTCAGTGATCGTCTTCCAGTCCCCGTGCTTTGGTGCTGGTGATTCTGTCACTGTTGGCGCTTCTTCCATTTTCGATTCCTCTTCTCCCACTGCGTTTGCTTCAACCACTGCCGGCTGCTTGACTGCCACATCAGCGTGTTCAGCATGTGATCGTGCGTCAGAGTCATTATCCATAATGCGCTTGAAATTAACATTGAGACCGGCCACATATCCTGTGCTCTTGTGAGTCAAAGTCTCATAAGTGCCCTGTTCGGCGATTGTTCCATCCTTCGACAGGACGACCACCCAATCTGCCAGGGGAAGTCGGGAGACGGCATGGGTCACCAGGATAATGCTGGTTGCCCTCCTTCGCACTGGGCCAGACACAGAGAAAAGTCGACGAAAGATATGCTCTTCGGTGTCTGCATCCACTCCACTGAATACATCATCAAGAACAAGTAGCTCCTTCTGTGCAAACGCCGCCCGAGCAAGTGTAAGACGAAGTCTCTGCCCCCCGCTGAGCGCGATCCCGTTCGATCCAATCTTAGTCCCATCCGTTTCAGGTAGGCTGTTCACGTCTTCCAGCAAGCCGCAGCAGTCAACGACCTCGTGGTACAGGAGGGCATCTTCAGGGGATTGACCGCATATGCTAGCCTTAATCGTATCATTGACGGTCCATGGGGTCTGATCCGCAAACCCTATCGAGGAAGTCGACGAAACTGTTCCAGATGACCAGGGAGTCTCTCCAAGGATTCCCTTTAGCAGGGTGCTCTTTCCGCACCCAGTCGGGCCAACTACCATGACCAGCGATCCCCGTGGGATGCGGAGATGCAGGTTGCGAAGCACCGGGCTGTCCTCTGCCCATCCGAATGATGCATTTTCTAGGACTACCGTATCATTAGTTCCTTCAAACGCCGCTGTTGTAGTAGTGCTTGGCGCTAATTGTCGGTATTCCTGTCGTGAAGGCGACCGAAGAAATGCATCGATGCGGTCGAAACTGCCCAGCGCGCCAGCTAGATGAGGCGGCGTTTGAACCAATGTCATCAATGGGGGCTCCAAAAGCTGTAGGAGTGAGAGGATGGAGAATGCGACAGGAACATTCAATGTCTTGCCAATGGATTGACCCCAGCCAAGGTAAAGTGCGAAGGTGGTCAGCGGCGCGGCGATGCTTGTGACATTTTGAAAGACTACCTGCACCACTGTAATCCATCGGATTTTTCGGGCCACGACATTTTCATTTACCCTTGAACTCTGGAGAAGGCTTCAAATAACGGCTGAGAGTCCCAGAAGTTTTAGACTGCGGATGGATCCGAGCATAGTCGAGGTTATTGAAGTCCGTTCTTGAATAGCCCCCACCCAGGCGTTTTGATACCGTGGATACAGCCGCGTACAGGCTGCCATGGCCACGACGGCGCACGCAAAGCAGAGTCCCGGAGCCAGAAAGCCCACACCTAGCTGGGCGTACAGCAGGTACAGGGCCACCGCTACCTCTATAACCGCCGTCCAGGCGTGGTGCATGTCTGCGCAGGACATGGTGATACGGTCGATGTCGGTGGACATGAGCGTCAAAGCAGCCTTCTCCTCCACGGCAGTTATGCTCAAGTCAACGCTCTTGTTATAGATAAGGGAGACCAATCCCCCTCGGATGCTGACAACCAACCGATTCATCTGGTGCTTGGAGGTGGCCCCGAGTAGGGCGATTGCGGTGTAGATGAGGGCATAGATTCCTATCAGGCGCCACGCAGGCCACTTTTGGCTTTCGACCGGGTCCATTACCAACCTCGTTGTATCCTGGATGAGATATGGCTGAGTGAATTTGACCCCGATCAAAAGTAATTGAGGAAGGCCGGAGGCCAGAATATGGTATTTCAGGACTCTCGTGACCGCTCTCAGTAAATGATGGGAACGCCTCCATTCGGCCTCAAAACGATCGCCGAGGCGTTGGGAGGAGAGAGCGGCCTCTAGAGGATACAGATTGTTAACTCCAAGTTGAGTGAAAAAACCCTTCCATAAGAGAGGATTGATCCACCACAGCAACAGCGTGCTGTACGGACCAGCAGTGTCGGAGGGGCTGCAATCCCGATAGGTAGCGAGCAAGATGCCCCTTTTTGGCAGAGCTTCGAGGAGAATCACTGCGACCTTGTTGAGCACGAGCATGGCAGTGATGATGTAAGGTACGCTTTGCTGGCCCTGATATCCCAGACGTTGGCACTGGGCCATATCCAAGCAAAGGCTTGCGATAACATAGAGTGGCACGAGGGTTGACGGTGCCACTGATCGAATATGCTCACACATTGAAAGGATCAGCAGCACGATGGCCGTCAGGAACCCACAAATTGCGACCACAGCCGAAAGGCCGGTCGCGGGATAGATAAAAGGGAAAAGCAAGAGAGTGAAGTGGAACGTCACAGTCGTCGTCAAGAAAAAATATTTGCATTGCTGTTGAAGAGATGGTTGCACTTTAATGGATTCCTGCGCAAGAAAGGCAATTCTGACACCCGCTGTCACCAGGAAGAGGAAGCCGAGAATAATTGCAATTGTATCCTCTCCTCCTTGTAACCATGGATGCAATACGTCGTAATCCATGTTAGTTGTGTTAATCAGAGGATGGCTGTATCTGCTGCAGTCTCGCCGTAGCAACAGCACTGTCTAAGGGGGAGAGATGGAAGTCCATGCCAGGAAGCTATTTTGATTGCGGCCTTTCTTTCTTTTTATCTTCTAGGGGTGGTGATGCAATCAATACCAGAAGCACGGAATTGAGGTTTGCCTAGCGTCAACACCAACAACAAGGCGATACATCCAGGCAGCGTCAATCCTGGCTTACTTACGAAGCCATGCAGGGGTTCTGAACCTTACGGGGCGCTGACGGGGGACCGGAGTCCCGCCGGGGAATTTACTGATAAGCAAACCACAGGATACACCAATTCGAGTGAAATCTATTAGCCAGTTAAATATAATTGCAATCTGCGAAGCCTGGCCTTGGCTAAATCCAGTATGTCATCGCCCTGGCACACCGCAAAGCGAAGATAGTTCTCTCCCAAGCATGGGTGCTCCGGGCTGCAAAATTCATTCGCAGGAATGGCTGTCACACCCAGTCCCATGATCAAGAACCGTGCCAGCAGGGAATCCCTTCTGCGGTCACGGATATGTGGCGGAGTCCTATACACCCTAGGAATCTGGACTTTGAGTAGATTAGCGAGGACAAAATAGCTGCCTTCCGGGATTGTGTAGGGAAGATCCAATTCCTGAAAGACCTGGCAAAGCCTGATCATTTTCTCTCGAACCAACGTGCGCGTCTGCGACCAAAAGCCGTTACATAGGCTTTGCTCATACGCAGCCGCAGCTGCTTCCTGTAAAGGGCCTGGTGTGCAGTTGCAATGGCATCAATCAACCGAGCAGGGACAATAAGTCAGCCCACCCTCCAGCCAGTACATAAGAAATGCTTCCCTACAGATCCAACGCTGATAGTTCGTTGCTGCACATCGGGGCCTAACATTGCAACCCGTGTAAAAGGTACGTAGCTTCATATACCTCGTCGCTGAGTAAAATCAGGTTATGTCGAACGCTCATGTCACTGATGTGCCGCAGCTCCTCGCGTGAAAACATCTTTCCTGTATGGTTATGCGGGGTATTTATCACAATCATCTTGGTGCGTGAGGTAATTGACTGTTCCAACTCGACGAAATTGATGGTCCACTCAGAGGACGAGCAGATTGCAATGTCTGCCTTCGCAGGAGATCTCAGAGGAACGCATCGAATGACGCCCCCAGCCATATAAATGCCGTCCAGATATCTACGGCAAGGAGAGACGAGCGCAAGCAGGGCGTGTAAGTATCACATACATAGTAGACTGTCCGAGAACGAGGGCGATGAGGCGTCAATTTACTGGTCAAAGTAGGGCTCAAAAAGGATAACTTCATCACCCGGAATCAGAAACGCCATCCATACACTAAGCATTCCTATGTCAGGTTAGTCAGGATCGACAGGAAACATAACATTTCGATGCTTTGAGGACTAGTACTATACCTTCGTTTGCCCTGTGGTCACAACTACTAATAAAAACCCTTGGATATGGCCTCCCGAAGCCGCGAGCGACCCTTGGTTGAACCATTTTTGTTGCACTCGAAGCGGTCCAGGGCCTGCTTAGCCGCTTCACGGATGAACTCCGGAGGGTTCCATCCACCTCACCTGCCATCGCTAACAAGACGGTCACCACGCAAAATTCAATGAGGGGTGGTTTCACAAATAGCCCTGACTGATGTTTACGCATGGCTTGATGCGAGAGGCCTCAGCACCTTCGTTGATAACGGACCATACATCCTGCTTGCTTGCCCCCCATCGTTTTGCCGGCCGAAAGTCAATAGCCGGGCAGTCGTTCTGCTTGGCGGCTGAGAAGTCGTCACCCGCATTATCTGTCTCCATGCCGCTGCAATGAGGGTAAAACAAGCAGGGGCTCGGCTGGGGTGTCCTTCGTGAAGGTACTGGCCCCCGATTTCCCTATGCCCTTTATCTACGCCTGTTTAGGCGCCCTTCGACCCACCTTTAGAGAAACAGGGGCGCCGATATGGACCGGATGACCTCAATTGCGAGAAGCAAGTCAAGCATATCAGCATAATACGCAGAGTGATAATGTAATGTATGTGTCTCTACGACTAGTCGTAACCTGTTTCGAGTTTGAAAAAGATGACTGCGAATGTAATACACTAGATCCTTCTCGTTGGTTTTGTCACTGCTCGTACCACTACCGGTCCATCTTAGTTGCATTAGTGCGTGCATGGCAGGCAACTCAGCTACCAAGCTGCAAACAACCCTGTGATTGATTGCCATCATGGACCAGTCAGCCCTCAGAAAAGCGATCTACCGATCATTCCACTCATTGTCAAACCTTGGACCCGCACGAGGCAGGAACGCTCCCCGCTGCCCCTCCTCCGCGTCATCGTTGGTGTCTTCATCCTCCAGCGCAGCGTGCGTGATCCGCTGCTGACTGCGTGTCTGTCTGCCAAACTGCATTGTCATCCAGCTCGGTCGCTGACGCAGGGCCTGATACAACGCAACCTGTAGTTGCCTTAGTAAGGAATCACCTATAACGAAGCACATACACAGACCTTCATGAGTAGAGTCAAAATAGCAGCTGCAAAAACCATCCACGAAGCACTCTGCTGCTGCTGTCTCCACGGGACCAGACAGCTTGTCCCGTAATTGAATTGTACCTCACAAGCATCATCCCCGGTGGTCTTATCCTTGAACGGCCACGCTCGGTCATGGATACTCCGGAATCCGCAGCAGCGGAATTCGTCCTGAATAGCACGGATCGGTTGAGCATCTTTCGCGCGGAAGTATGACTGCCATTCCTGCTCTAGTCGGCAGGTTGTGATGCTCTCTGGGTATAGATAGGCGAGGGCTACGGTGGCGATGATTGTGGTTATGATAGATTGGAGGTGGTTGATAACGGGAAAGAGTCTTCGCCAAGGGCTAGATGACTGGCGATTATCTGCAGCAGGTTGGGCGAGTTTATTGGCAAGATATAGTGCCAGTGCTGTTAGAGGAGGGAAGAGGGTGGCGATGGCTGGAACCCATTCAGGAAGGGGAAGGTAAAGTGAAGCTGTACGAGACCAGGACAGCCTGATGAGATGAATGAGCTTGATCCTCGATGGCAGACATCTGTGGCGAGAGTGAGAAGGTCACTTACGCTCCAAGAATGATAGCGATAATTGCAAACTATCAGATGAAATGATGACTTGTCAGTGGGTTTTCTAGAAGGTAGTGGACTTGCTCATACCGCTGCTGCTACTGTGGAAGCCACTGTGGGCAATCCGTAGACAATAGCCATGTTGAATTTGATGCTAGACGATGAAAATGACGGATTACAAAGCAGAAAGCTTTCCCTAGTTGTACATTGAGTGAGAGAGAAGAGAACAAGCTGTTGGGAGGTGAAGTGAAGGGGAGGGAGCTGGCCAGGCGGGGTCGGCGCTTGCAGCTGCGCGCACATGTGTCAGGCAGAAGCCATGGTTAAGCAATGCTCCCATGGTCTTGATGTGTCCATCAAGCAAGCTTAGTACCAAACTAAGAAAAACAGGAGCTTAACTTAGTGTATGTTCAGTGAACATTCCTTTCATAATGAGCAAATGAGCTAATCTAGGGGGATATATGAATGGCGGTATATTTGTGGGGTAAATCAGCTAGAATCAATCCATCGATCTATTATGGGTTCCACTGCCACTGGAATTGGGACCAATCTATACAGCTTAAAGCCGAAAAGGAAGATGCCATTAACATAATTCTCAAATTGGATTTGCCTACTGCCTCCATTCATGTGCATACAGTCATCCAATACCAACCCGCGGATGGTCACCTGGTCCCCATCGGAGCTACCCGCGCTAACGATCAAGCTAAGATACGCGATGCTGCTCTTCTCCCCGATTTCTTATTCTGCCAAACTTTCCCCTGCTTTACCTTGGGGTCGCTACCTGCCTTCACCATGAAACCATACTTCGGTATTCCAGCGGTGATAGTGCTTGTTCATCGTGCCTGGTCGCGAAAGTCGCTGACCACCCCCGGCCTCATTGCGGCTGCGCTGACAGCTAGCGCCCATGCTCTTCATCCATGGTCCGCTCCTTTTGTCTTGTTAGGAGTCTTCTACTTTGGGGGCACCAAAGTTACCAAGGTATATATCCCTTGCTCACATCATCGATCCACAATTTGTAACTGTTGATCACGCACCTGCCAGGTTAAACACGATGTTAAAGCTCGTTTGACGCTCTCCGCGACCGGCTCCGAGGGCGGCGAGGGTCAGCGTACCCACATCCAAGTCCTGGCGAACTCTGTTGTCGCGACAGTGCTTGCTCTCCTACATACATATGTTCTTGCGGGACAACCTGCAAACGCAACACAGTGCTTTTCGAATGGTCATAATGTGGCGGATTTGTTGGTCGTGGGAATAGTCGCGTAAGGCCTATCTCTATTCCTAAACCTTTCTTATGCGCGTACTAACAGGTCCTCGTTGTAGGAACTACGCCGCTGTCGCCGCTGATACATACTCCTCCGAGCTTGGTATCCTATCCAAGTCGAAACCCCGCCTGATCACCTCTCCCACGTTCCGCGTCGTTCCTCCCGGTACCAATGGCGGTGTAACAGGAACCGGACTCCTAGCAGGAGTGCTGGGTGCTTTTACAATCGCCGTGTCCTCCGCTGCTATCCTACCTTTCTGCCCCGAAGCCGATACACTGTCGATGCTCAAGAGCCGGGCCCAGTGGATTTTGGCCGTGACAATGTGGGGAGGTTTGGGCAGTGTGCTGGATAGTGTCTTGGGTGGATTGCTGCAGGCTAGCGTGGTAGACAGGAGAACAGGAAAGGTTGTTGAAGGAGCTGGTGGTCAGAAGGTCAGTACATGCTTAGCATCTACCGGACTGTAAGAAGAGGATAGTACTGATATTGTCTTGCAGGTCCTTGTTCACCCCTCTTCTACTAAGCCCGGTGTCCCAGCTGATACCACCGGTCTGAAGCCTGCTGGATCAAGCTCGAGTGCGCAGGTACACGCCACCGAGGCAGTAGCTAACACCGCCGCTCTGAAAGGAACCAGGGCTACTGGAACGTCGACGGGAACGTCCGCAGGAGAAACGGAATCAGGACACGAAAGCCGGCGGGTAGAGAGTGGACGGGACCTCTTAGATAACAATGCCGTCAATCTTCTGATGGCCTTTACGATGAGTGTTGGGGCTATGGGCGCTGCAAGCTGGGCTTGGGGTCTGAACATTGCTGACTTGGCTTTGTGGTAGCTATTGAAGGCTTGACGCGTATCTATGATCGCAATGCTATGAAACGATTCTTATGACTTGAACTGAATTGAACTATATTAAACGATGGGTATATGGGAAAGGTAGGAAGGAAGAGAAGGAGACATGCGTTGACACTCACTAGTCGGGCAGGTGCAGAAAACGGTATGAAAGAAACCTTATATATAAACAATATGAAAGACCATTACTCCAACAGTATCCCACATCCTCACCAAACTGGATGTTCCCTTGCCAAAAAGGCAGACCAGCACGCAGCGGGTTAGCGCTGAATATACTTCTCTTGGACGACGGTTTGGTACCGTCGTCTCTCCCTCTCCAGATAAGTCAACGTGACGCTCTGGTCCCGGTGATAGTCAATGAAATCCTCCCATTGTTCTTGCGGCACAATAACCTCATAAGGCTGTTCCGAGAAAATATCTGTCGGCCGGGTTCTGGTTGCCATGCCCTTGGGGTGCATCTCGAAAGTGAAAACCTTTTGCTTCCCACCAAGTTTAAGTCCACTGGAATCTTCCGGTTGCCTCTCGAGCAGAGACTTGGGGCGGGCTATTCTCCGCCGATGCATGGGCTGTGGAATGGTATCTTGCGACAGCAAGTGAAGGCTATCCTCCCATCTTCGTTTCGAGTTTCGGTGGTCTGGCACTTCAATAGCCGCTTGCATCTTCTCTGGTTGCATCGCACGTCTTTGAGCTTCCTCCAGCAAGCGCTGTCGCTCTCGATCGCTCAATCCCGGCTGACAGAGTGGCAGGTAGAATGCCATTGTGCTAGCCTCAGGTTGCTTGGTGATCCATAGCTGGCATTCGCAAAACAATGTGTACGCCTTGTCATATTTTCCTTGGGCAAACTTCACCCGAGCCTGCCAGTACCTGCACCGTGCGAGCACTGGTTTGTCGTCATACTTTTCTGCCAGATCTCGAGCCTTCTGGGCCTCGGACTCAGCCTCCCGGGTTTGGCCTTTTCCAAGGTAGAGCTCTACGCTTCGAAGAGCGGACCTGATATTGCTCATGTCGACGACCATATCACAGTAGGATATGATTTTGTCGAGTGATTCGCCACCTGGCTTGTCTTTAAGTGCTGGCTTGGCGTACTTTTCTTTGTGTGAGTACTTGTTATATGGTAACCAGGGGGATGGAGGTGGTGGTGGGTAGTCAACGTGTTCGCCCTGGCTGTCAGGATCAGGGAGTTGAATTTGCAATGAGGCGTGCTCTCCCTCATCTGCACCGTCGCTGTCATTCCCGCTGAATAAATTTTCAGCCTGGGTTCGCCATAAAGGGTCCTCGTCATCGTTTGCAAATTGGTCAGTGGAGCTTTGATCATACGAAGCACCCTCGTTGTAATTTGCTTCCATGAGTATATGCAATGCCTCGTCTTCGCCGGCGTCCATATCTGAATGTGCGTACTCGTCGTCGCTGTCTGCTCTGATGTTCAAGGCGGCGTCCCGCATTTGCGAGTAATTGCGCCTGCTTGGTGACATTTTGTGGCATGTTAAGAATGGTGCTCAATTTATTGAACTTCAAACATAGAATCTTGGGTTGTCCTGGGCTTATTTATATCTTCAACGATGCAAGAAGAGGTGCATGTCCACTACTAGTCTACGGTATTTCACTACTTGAAAGATTTTCGACAACTATTCCATTAGAGATTGTTTCACTGGACTTGCTAAATGCGTTGGATACATGTTGGTTAAAACTGTGCTCTTTGGTGACCAGCGGAGATATCCCGAAGTACTACCGATGTTCGTATATATAATGCTTTTGGCCGCCGCTATACATCCGTCTGATCATACACTATTTGAGATGTCTTTTGTTATGCTTTGTTCACCCGGCGGAATCCCTCTGCTGATCTTGTCTCGGCAGCTGATCAGCCCTAATCGTAATGGATAAGCAGCTACACTGAATGTGCCTGAGAGGGTTCGTCCGTCACTGATCGGATTCACGCGGATATGCTGAGTAACTTTTATGACTGCTACCGTAGTGCTGATGAAACTTCATTGTTTGTTTCTGACCCTAGCTCAACACTGATCTGACTCAGGTACTAGTAAATACGAGCTCCACTGAGGCATATTCCATGCGATACGAATTGAAGGGGGGATGTGTCCAAAGCCAATCAGACAAGCCTGATGGATGTATAAAATGGTGGTTGGGAAATGCCGTCCCGTGATGACAAGCTGCCTCAAACAGGCAACAGCAGTAAACCAAACCAGACAAACTGAGGTGGGGTATCCAAACAGCACAAACAGTACCCAACACGGTAATCCCCGCTCCAAAAGTAAGTCATGCAAACCAATGCAATCAATGCAAACTCAACGTCATGCTCGTGTCGGCGCTTCCTTCTGGCCCTCGGTGGTTGGACCTCTTTTCCGCATGCGTCACTGGCCTACGGTGCTTCATCCATTAGATCGCTGTGACACCTGGTCGTTCCTTGGAAAGTAACCCGGATGGTGGGTTCCCAAGCCATCCCACCGGAATGTGTACCCTGCCCAGTATGGTCTGATTGACGTGCAGGACGGCCTCAACGGTATTTTCCGGTCTGCGGTGGGACAAATCGCCCTGAGCTTACACAATGCGGAGGGTGTCCAGACCATCTCGATGACCCAGTCGGTCATGGTGGGTTGTTTGCAAGGGCCCGCTTCCCTCGATAGTGCAGGAACAGCCGCCCCTGATATTCTTGAGAGAGGTGGGACGAGCAGCATGATACTGGTCTCTCTGATGCACCCCACGCCAACCTCGAGTCTGACCTGTCGAGCTATTTATCCAGTGGTGGATCTACTCGTAGATGATCAATCTTGCATACCCTCGCTGCAAGGACTGGACGCTTCTCCTCATCTACCCCTCATTAGCCCCCCGATACCATCCGCGGTTTGCGCGCGCATACAATAATATAAGCTCTGTGGCTTACCCTTGAATTTGTACTTTTTCTTTCTAAAGTGGCTTGTATAGCTGTTGCTTTTTTACTTGCTTTATTGTTGCTAGAGTTCCGTGCTCACCAAAAATGTCACCCTTATGTCCGGTCGTCAAGGGCGTTGACATCGTCGATATCCGTCAAAATGACGTGGAGTTTTCCCTGGTAAATGATATCCAGCGAGGTATAGATCCTCCGGCAGGAACTTGCCGTTCCATGCCCACGATGCTTCTGTACGATGCTCAGGGGCTCAAGCTGTTCGAGGACATTACGTACCTGGAGGAATATTATCTCACAAACGCGGAGATTGACGTTCTACGGACACATGCGAAGAGGATCGTTGAACGCATCCCGGACAATGCGCAATTACTGGAGCTAGGTAGTGGGTGCGTCTTCCTTCCACTTGGAGCATGTGTAGATTCTAGGGTACGGATACAGAATTCTAACATATAGTAGCAATCTGCGCAAGATTGAGATCCTTCTCCAGGAATTCGAAGCGGCGAGCAAAAGAGTGGACTACTATGCCTTGGATCTGTCGCTCTCGGAGTTGGAGCGCACATTCTCGGAAGTATCCCTCGATCAATATCAATATGTCGAGCTCCATGGCCTCCATGGCACGTACGACGACGCCCTTACCTGGCTGGAAAACCCCGCGAATCGAAAGGTCCCAACGGTGATCATGTCAATGGGTTCGTCAATAGGAAATTTCGATCGTCCTGCGGCGGCGAAATTCTTGTCGCAATTTGCCAGGCTCCTGGGGCCGTCGGACTTGATGGTGCTTGGGTTGGATAGTTGCACCGACTCGGATAAAGTGTACAAGGCATACAATGATTCCAAGGGTATCACGCGGCAGTTCTACGAGAACGGGTTGTTGCATGCGAACTCTGTGCTTGGATACGAAGCATTCAAGCTCGATGAGTGGGACATCGTGACGGAGTACGATAATGTCGAAGGGCGGCACCAGGCGTTTTACGCGCCAAAGCGGGACGTGACTATAAACGGGGTACTGCTCCAGAAAGGCGAGAAGCTGATTTTCGAGGAGGCATTCAAATATGCTCCCGAGCAGTGCGATCAGCTATGGCATGATGCGGGTTTAATTGAGGACGCTGAGTTTGGCAATGAGTCTGGGGATTACCGTATGTCGTCCTTTGGCAATGTGCTACGACTGCTCATGTTGCACTGCATTGTGCACAGCATGTTACACTGTTGAGACCGTTATACTAACATGATCTGTCGGGCAGTTATCCACGTGCTGTCCTCGGCTACCCTCAACTTTCCAACGAGCCCATCACAATATGCGGCTCAATCAGTGCCGAGCTTTGAGGAGTTCCAGTCTCTGTGGACGGCATGGGATATTGTCACCAAGGCCATGGTTCCCAGGGAGGAACTTCTGTCGAAGCCCATCAAATTGCGAAATGCATTGATTTTCTACCTTGGGCACATTCCTACTTTTCTCGGTCAGTATTTTGTTTACCTTTCAGGAACCACGCGTAACAGACATGTTGACAAGAGTAGATGTTCATTTGACCCGAGCGTTGGGTGAAAAGCCAACGCACCCCAAGTCATATCGACTCATCTTCGAACGCGGAATCGATCCCGATGTGGATGACCCCGAAAAGTGCCATTCTCACAGCGAGATTCCGGACGAATGGCCTGCCCTTGCAGACATCTTAGACTATCAAGTGCGGGTTCGAAGTAGGGTGAGGTCCATCTTTGAGAAGCATAATGTGGCTGATAATCGAGTGCTCGGCGAAGCACTCTGGATCGGGTTCGAGCATGAAGCCATGCATTTGGAAACGTTCCTTTACATGTTAATCCAGAGCGAAAGAACACTTTCGCCTCCAGCTGTTCCGCAACCGGATTTTGAGAAGCAATTCCGCGATGCACGGCAAGAGGCAAGACCGAACGAGTGGTTCTCGATTCCCGAGCAGACGCTTTTGGTTGGTCTAGACGATGATGGTCATTCGGTCCCTCGTGACTCTTTTGGATGGGATAACGAAAAGCCCCAGAGAAAGGTAACAGTCAAAGCATTCGAAGCGCAAGCGCGACCCATTACAAATGGAGAGTACGCCAAGTATCTACAGGCAAATCATCTGCCTCAGAAGCCAGAGTCTTGGGTCTTGGTCAAGTCTGATCAGACATACCCGACTTGCAATGGTGTCAGTCAAAGCAGCAGTTACGCTACGAACGATTTTATGGCACACTTTGCCGTTCGCACCGTGTTTGGCTCCGTCCCGCTTGAGCTGGCCCAGGACTGGCCGGTGATCGCGTCGTACGATGAATTGGCAAAGTATGCCAAGTGGGTGGACTGCAGGATACCGAGCTTCGAAGAGGCGAAGAGTATCTACGCGCATGCAGCTCGACTGAAGGAAACTAGTAACGGTCTTTCAAACGGTCATAGGTAAGTAGACCGCTTCGCTTGAATGCACAGGGCTTATCGTCACAGTCAAACCAACGGAGTCAATGGACACGGACATAGCGAGACCAACCCCCTACGGCCTCGCACTCCCGACCACCAACCGGTACAGCACCCTTCGCGCGAGTCTCTGCCGGTGTTTGTTGAGCTCGACAACTGTAACGTCGGCTTCAAACACTGGCATCCCACCCCAGTCATCCAGAACGGTGATCGACTCGCCGGTCATGGAGAGCTGGGAGGCGTTTGGGAGTGGACGAGCACGGAACTTGCACCCCACGACGGGTTCAAGGCCATGCAAATCTACCCCGGATATACATGTAAGCTTGTCGCCCACCACATACAAACAAAGCTAATCAAGAACAGCCGACTTCTTCGACGGAAAACACAATGTCATCCTCGGAGGGTCATGGGCGACGCATCCACGGATCGCCGGCCGCACTACCTTGTAAGTCGCCCATCTACAAGCCAGCTTTTCATGAGCTAATCTGTTCAGTGTAAACTGGTACCAGCGGAACTACCCCTACCCCTGGGCAGGAGCCCGGCTGGTGCGGGATGTCTGATTTATAAACATCTAGTATAGAGTAGGTATAGGTACTTCATGCAAGAGCAATTACCAGTTCGCCACCGGATCGACAGTGTAATGTCCATCACTCGGGCCCCTCGGAAGCGGGCATACATAATCCTGCCTTACATCACAAACCATGTATGTAGCTCTATACTTCATCGTAGTAAACCCTAAGGCACCTCCCGATAGCATGACGACATACCCCTCCTGACGTCGCCGATAAATGATCCACTCCATCCTCTTCCCCAACTTCCTTCCCCACGTCCCCCATAAACCCCTCAATACCCATATATTTCACATCACAATGTCCGTCCCCAACATCACCACCATCTCCCCGATAACCAACCGCCCCATCCTCAACCGCACGGGCGCCAACCCCGAAGACATCGTGGGCATCGCCGAATCCGCACAATCAGCCTACCGATCCTTCTCAACATCCACGACCCTCAAACAACGTCAAGACATCGTGACCCGCGCCCTCGCCAAACTCGAAAAACGAAAAGATGACCTCGCCAGACAACTCACCGAGCAAATGGGGCGGCCCATCTCCTACACAGGGATCGAAGTCGCCACGGCCATCAAGCGCAGCCACTACCTGAACCGCATCAGCGACTCCGTCCTGGGTGAAGAGGGAATCGTACCGGGGGAAGAAGAAACTGGCTTCAAGCGATACATCAAGCGCAAGCCCGTCGGCGTAGTACTGATCATCTTCGCCTGGAACTACCCCTACCTTGTTCTCGTGAACAGTTTAATCCCTGCCATTTTGGCAGGTAATGCCGTGATTCTGAAACCGTCGCCGCAGACGCCCACTGTCGCGGAGGAAGTCGCCAATGCGTTCCATGAAGCGGGGCTGCCGGAGAAGGCGCTTCAGTATGTCCATTCTGGGTCTCCGACGTTACTCGAGAGTTTGGTTCGTTCTAGCTGTGTGAACCATATATGTTTTACGGGCTCCGTGGAGGGCGGACTAGCTACGCAGAAGGCCGCGTCTGATCGCATCGTCAACGTTGGATTGGAGCTCGGGGGTAAAGATCCCGCGTATGTGCGCGACGATGTCGATGTCGCCTGGGCGGCTGGGGAGATTGTCGACGGGGCGATCTTCAATAGTGGACAGAGCTGCTGCGCGATTGAGCGGGTCTACGTGCATCAGGGAATCTACGAGGAGTTTGTGGCGGAGGTGAAGAAGGTGCTGAGTGGGTATGTGGTTGGGGATCCGTTCGATAAGAAGACGCAGATCGGGCCGGTGATTTCGAAGCGCGCGAAGGAGGATATTGAGGCGCATGTTGCTGATGCGGTGGAGAAGGGGGCGAAGGATGAGACGCCGGAGAATGAATCGTTTGAGAATCCGCCGTCGGAGGGGAATTATGTTAGGCCTACGCTGTTGACGGGGGTTACGCATGAGATGCGGGTGATGACGGAGGAGACGTTTGGGCCGGTGATTCCGGTGATGAAGGTCGAGGGGGATGAGGAGGCTGTGAAGTGGATGAATTGTAGTGAGTTTGGGTTGACGGCTAGTGTGTGGACGAAGGATGTTAAGGCTGCGGAGGAGTTGATGGAGAAGGTTGAGGCTGGGACGGTGTTTGTTAATCGGTCGGATTATCCTAGCCCGGTGAGTTGTGCTGTTGATATTGGGATGATGATGATATGGAGATGTGCTAATTGAAGTATAGGATCTGGCTTGGACGGGATGGAAGAATTCGGGCCGTGGAGTGACGCTCGGTCGGTTTGGGTTCGAGCAGTTTGTGAAGTTGAAGAGTTATCATATCAAGGATTATCCCAAATAGAGGGGTGCTGTTCTCGTTTGTTGCTTTGTATTTGATTTGATGTGATTGATGCCTTGATGATTGATAGACCCTGCCATGACAATAACAATTACAATCCCAATGTCAATGTCGATGACAAACCCACAATCGCGTAAACTCAACATAAGCACTAGGCATCCTTCAGAGAAACCACAAAGAGGATTGCAATGCCAATGCCACACAGCAAGTGGATACCTGCATTCGGCCCCCATCCCCATCCCATCCCCATCCCCCAAGTAACCAGCACTAGCACTAGCATAACACCAATACCCACCACGAAGACACCACACATACCAGTCAGCAACCAGCCAGCCAGCCAGCCAGGCGGTACCTAATCATCTACTCCGTAGATATGTAGTTGGTTAATAACGAGAAAGAGAAGCCACTGGTACCGCCCAACTATGAAGGAACCTGGCCTTGACCCTAGCTGAGAAAGAAAGACCGCTGTATGGCCGGAAGAAACGGCCGGAGGCTGGCTGGCTGGCTGTGAGTTCTGGGGCTGAGATAAGATATTTGTAGGTATGTATTGTTGTTGCAAAGATGGGGGTTGAGATGGGAGTTCTAGGCATTCTAGTGGTATGGCCGGGAGAGGGAAAGGGTGTGGGTGGCATTCTTTGTGTGATGTTTTGCATTCTTCGGGATGGGGATGGGGATGGGATGGGATGGGTTGACAAGGGCGTTGTACAAAGTACTCTGTAGGAAGGAGGAAGGAGGACGGACTATGGAGGGGAGGTATTTGGATTAAATTGATTTGTATGGTAAAGTTATAGGTAGAGTGTTGAGGTATAACAGTGAGATTTGATTATTATAGATGGTTGAAGATGTTGAATTGAATTGGACTGTATAACGTTAGAGGGATAACTATAAGATCTCTTGCCTCAGGCAAATATCATCCATCCATCGTAACTATGTACATGACCCTACCCTACATCATAACCACTACCTCACACTCACACACTCACACTTAAGTAGACACGGCTACAGCTACAGTAGATAAGTCTAGATAATGAACAGACCCTTAATCCATCTCAACCAACTCACCTCGCACTCACCTCAAACGAATTCCCCATCTCCTCTCTCCCCACTCCACATCACTCCACTCCACTCTCATCCCCTACAGATAGATAATATCTCCAAGAATGCTTAACTTCGTTACCTATCACACTATTCTACCCGCGGGCGGGATCAGCGGCAAATATCTCACCAGTCAGTTACAGACGCCCGAAAACTGAAGAAATATAGGCATTGTTTTGATGCAAGGGGGATACCTGTAACCCTTTATACCGTATATTCAGTATGCAGTTACTAAGTATACTACTTACGTAGTATGTATCGCCACCATACTGTACATCCCTAGTCGTCGTCTCCCTTTATCTCTTTGTTTTTTACCTGTCTAGCTGGGTACTACTAAGTTGTGGGCGTGTGTGGGATTGAGTTTCTGGGGTATATATATACTTCCTGTATTCGGGGTCTGGTAACCATGACAAGAAAGACAGATATTTAGCTAACTTTGTAGTTGTAAGCAGGGGATAACTAACAATGGATAGATAGATACGGAGTAACTTAGGGGGGAGGAAAGGGGGGGCCGGAAGTATTCTTAGAATGTTCGATGCATAACTTATTACCCTTGCCCCAGTACGTATTACTTACCTATTCTCCTTTCTATGGTTTTCTTACTCCGTAGAGGGTGGATGGGGGCTATTTTTATTCTTGTTTTACTCTGTATACATTGAAAAGTAAGAATGTGCCGTGCAACGGAGTACAATACATGTACATACCTACGTTATTCCCGGAGTATCTATCTATCTATTCATCTATCTAACTATCTAGTATATTACTTACTCCGTAGGTAAAAGAAAGTATCTATAACTATATCCAAACTATTATTCCCATTGCAGTATTTCTATTTTGGGTAACCCGATGATAGTTAGGTTAGGTTACTAACCCCGAAAAAAGAAACAAACAAAATGGGGCCAGCCAGCCTAGCTAGCCCGCCAAGTTGGGGCCGATCGGTGATCCAAGCCACCACCACCATTTCCACTTACCAACACTTAGACCTCTAACCCCCATATGGGGATGACGAATGCACAAAGTTAATTCATCTATTACCACTGTGTAACGATAATAATAATGAAAGAATAGTATTATATAGTATAGCTACCTATGTATATAGCATGGTTTCCATGCAGTCAGCATTCGGTGCAGCGGGTGGTTACATACATACACACTTACTTACATGCTATGCTGTATGGCGCCCTGTTTTGGGTACCTACAGATGTGGCATATGTAGCCTATCTTTGTTGTGTACATACGTAAGGCTTTTAGTGCCATCTAGACTATAGTATAGTATAGTATAGTATAACCAAGTAATGTAAGTATGTAAGTATGTAGTATGTATGTATGATTGCCGCCCAACAATTCTTCGGAGAATATCGCGTCACTCCTTTAGTCCGTCGAAGTTCAGAAAGGGGAGTGAGGGAGCAGCATATTTGCTTCTGTGACGGATAAAACTAACCAACTACTAACGTTACTCGCCTTACTAGCTGAGCTGGACCTGCCAGGGGGAGAATGTGTCACCCGCGGGCGCGTAACTTATTAGCAATGCTTCCAATCAGTTTCCGGCACATAACATAAGGCTGTCACTTTGTGGATATTACTCCCCATTCAAGGGCCAGTAACTATCTAGCATAGCATAGCGTAAGATAGTTGTCGTGCCACAGAATTCCACCCGATCTGCATTTCAGATTTGCACGGGCGAAAAACCGTTTGTTCAGTTTCCAATTTCGAACTGGGAAGAGGGCCGAAATCGAAACTTTCTTCTTCTTCTTCTTCTCGCTCCTGCAGGGCGTTTCGTAGTTTTCTCCATATATCTAGAGTTGTTTTCTCTGACCGGTCGTTTTTCTTTCTTTCTCTTGTTTCTCTCTCTCTTCTTCTTACTTCTTCATCTTCTGTTTCCTTGTTTTTTAGTATTCTTTTTATTGTTTTTCTTTTCTTGATGCGCCCAATGCCCTGCTGCTGCTGCTGCTGCTGCTAACTAAGAGCTTTTTTTGTTCTGCTGCCGACTAGTCCTTCCTTTGGTTCTCACTCACTCAGTTACTTACTGAACTCACGCTCGCTCACTCGCTCACTCGCTCGCTTCTTGTGTTTCGTGTTTCGGTGTTGCCGCTCGTTTTGAATCTAAGCCCTACATACCTCTTTGTCACTCGTTTCATATTGTCACATCGCCATTGTCGTCATCGTCATCATCATCATCGTCATTGTGATTGATAGACAGCCACTCGCTTTTTGTTGATCGATCTGCTTGTTGCTTGAACTAGCACCATCTTTGCTTTTTTGTGTTTCTTTAATGGCATCGGTCCCTGCCTTGTAGATAGTGACCGATCTCGATCTCTCCTTCATTCCCACCTTACGACACTCGCTTTTATTATCATCATCACAACCATCACCACCACCAGAACAACAAACACCTGAAGTCACTATGGAGTGTTTTCGGCAGATAGCTCGACTTGTCAAGTCTCCCTTTCGGCGCGAGAAGCAGCAGAAGGTGCTGGAGATTGTGAGTCCCACTGCTTCTGACCCCATGATGTTTATCCTCATGCTAATGCGGTCTGCATTCAGGGACCCCCAACCGACTTCCGTAAAGAGGAATTGCCCGCGTTCTTCTCAGATGACGAGTCAGTCCCCTCATATCCTGACTATTCTGCTCCCCATCTAACCATCTGCAGTGCGGCAACCTTGCACAGCCGGGGTTCCACCCTAGAGAAGGAGAAGGAAGCGGCGGCCACCGCCATGGAACGTCAACCATCGACACGAGACAAGATCAAGACGCATGTCCGGAGGCTGAGCGTCCGGGTTGCGAGACCAGTTTCTGATGCCCACGATGAGCAATGAGCCGATCGATTCGATGCCAGCTGCACATGCCGGTTGCATATCAGCATCACATCAACGTCAACACCATCGACAGTTTATCTCGTTACGCAAGCATGGAAACCTCATCATAAATTCTCCTCTCAGCGTGATTCACGGTCTGCAACGTCAAAACAAGAATGTTGGAACTTCATTGAGACGCGATTTCTTTGCTTTTGGATCCGGGCCTCGTGGATTTGGTGCTCTTCGACCTAATGACGGGGATGATATCGGGCCCTGCATCTGATTGCTTGACCGAGACGGCTCTGGAAGCCCGTCAAAGTCATCATCGAATATTAATCTCTTCTTAGATTGGTTCGCCCTCGGTGTACTGTATCTACCACTCATAGACTGCACTTTTCTGATTCCACTGTCCCCTGTAGACCGATTATTCATCGGGCTGCTTCGCGAGCTAGCAGCAGTAGGCATAGGCGTAGGCGTAGCAGTACGATGCTGATGCTGTACACGACTCGGCCCTGTCAGGGTCCTCGTCCGTGCGTCTAGATCGTCGTCATCCGTCGTTTCATCCAGTTGATCGCCGTCCCCCATCGCATCCTGTCGCTCCCTTGCCGCCCCATCGGTAACCGCGCTGCTCCCTGCTGACGCCCCCAGTCCAGCAGCCGCCCGCGTCGTCGACTTGATACCCTGCATGCCGACCAACGACCGCGCCTTTCGTGGACTAATCAGCAGATCATGCAGCGACGTACCCGCCCAAGTATCATCCTCCTGATCATCATCCTCCTCCTCTTCCGAATCCACAGCAGGTCTTCCACCCTCCACCATATTCTGCAGCCCCTCCTTCTGCTGAGCGGACAAATCCTCCGCCGCAGCCTTGCGTTTAGCTTCCTCGCTCTGCGCAGTAACACCATCGGTCGGTCGAGCGATATTCTGTATGGTCGTGGCATTCTGCAACTTGGCTTCTTTCTTCCGTCGGACGTATTCCGCGTAGTGTAGGTGTTGTGTGAAGGTTTGCGCGACCGCGTAGAATTCGTCTTCGACCATCATGTATATGTCGTCGTTGTCGAAGCCTTCGCGGAGGTATCTTCACATATTATCAGCCTCTGCGGTTTTTCCTAACATATAGCTATGGTATGATCACGTACTCTTCAGATGGGCAGCGATGGATGGGAGAGGACGGCGGCGTAGGTGCTATAGCAAGGTGTCAGTGACCTCAGTCTACTCAACTTGCAGAAAGAGAGTCAGAGGAAAGGTACATACAAGACCGCATGAAATCGCGCTTCTTCATCCTCGACCCTGGAGTCATCGCCTCGGCTTTTGGTGTCACATCGTTGTCTTCTTCTTCTGCTTCTTCCTCCTTGGCTATGGTCTCGCGCTTCACGGTTCGACGCGGTTTATCTGATGGAGAGGCCTTTGGTTCTCGTTTGATTGTTGTTGTCGCTGCGTTGGATAGCCAAGGTAGACTGCGGGGCATTGTGTCTATGGCTAATATGGTGTTTATGGGAAATTACAACATTAGTTGAGTATTAAGTGAGAAAAGTATGTATGGAAATGAATAGGGAGGATGGGTACTCTGTACTGGGACGGACGATGGTGGTGTCTTGCGACCGCTGATACGCGGCTTCTCCCCGCCTCCGCACGGATTAGTTATCTAAGTTACTTTAGGTGGTGGAGATCCACTTGTCAGCCTCATGATGTTGATATGCTTTGTCTGTTTGAATGAATCGTTGATGATTGGTTTTACATGTGTGAAGGGTGTCTCTTTGCAAAGAGGCTATTATTTCTGTGGGATTTGTATTGTGGCCATTTTAGCAATGTGTGCTCTGCAAGCAGTACGACTGTCTATAACCTACGACTCGTCTGCCTCATATGGTGTAGCGGGTATCTGATTTCAATCTATTCTAGTATCACCATAGCAAATCCATAATACAGCCTCGTATGCTAACGCGAAACGCCGAAAATATGATAAAGCCCCATATCGAGCAACTTGCCATGGCCCTGGCAGAAAGAGTAATCCACATGAGAAGCGAAAAAGTGAACGAACAACGCCTATCAAGAAAAGTGGCTGAAGGAGAAGAAAAGCGAAGTAAGCAAGTGAGGTGACGAGAGCATCAACCGATGACGCAAAGTAAATATCGCATCACCCTTACGCTTCGCCAGGCCTCTTGCTATTGCAGCTCACAATCTTCACCTTATCCGCGGAGACCGTAGTCTGGTTATCAAGTTTGAACGTAACATCCTTGATCAGGAATGTCCACACTTCATCGCAGAATCGGTAGGTATCGAGGTGTCCCTGTAGTGGAAAGAAAAGCCATGTCAGCCTCATTCGCCTCCTTCATATCCCTCAGACGCAGCCTTCCTTATCCTCATAGATAAGCGTACCTTGAAGGTCAGACGAGCGCGCACTTTGTCCGCCAGCACTTCTGTGATCACGCGATCGAAAGTTGAGAGGATCTTCATGGCGAGCTGAGGCTCGATCCGTCCTTCGTTGATCAGGTCATCGAGGGTATCGGTCAGGGAGAGTCCGAGGCTGTCACATATGGTTAGTGATGCTTTCTGACATGTAGTCGCAGATACTGTCGTACCTGCTCCCGCGATAGAGCTCGTAGTATGCCTGGGCGCTCATTGTGAAGTTGGCAGTGAGGCGACAAGGGAGATTAAGAGAGTGGAAGTGGAGCCGGTGATTGCGATCAGTTGGTCGCGGGGGGTATCTGCACGTGATCTAGATCATGTGATGGACAGGAGCCATTACATCAATGGCTGGGACCAGCAGTGTCAAGTTTCGACATTATTTTCAGTCAAAAGGTTACCTTTGAAATTAATGCAATGAATTTGTTTTCAACGTTATCATCTCCACTGCTTGTCCGGACAGCTCGTCTGTCAATTGCATCTCCCGGAGCACGGTATATAACTTCGACCGCTTACAGACTCGCAGAAACAAAAGGTCAGTAAGATAGTGATTTCAAATTGGATATATCGTTCCCATTCAAGGCTAATCGAAATATAGCTCAAGATTCGTCGCACCAAAAGCAATCGAATGATGCATCAGATAACCAATCAGCATCGAAGCTCAAGCAAGACAAAACCAAAAACGTTGCTCAGGCGGATCAAGAGCTCCGAGAGCGGCTCGAGCAAATGTCTGGCGGTGGTGGTGCTTCGGGGATTGAGTATGAAGATGGAAAACCTAGCGCCATGAAGCGCAGCGTACGAAACAACATGTTCCGCTATATCTGAGCAGGAGAAGTGAGCTACTTCAAGGAGCATCCCATTATGTCGTCGTGGTGTGTCGACAGGGCCGAACAAAGCCTACGATGGCTACTTTATCCATAACAGCTGTAAGACCGAGTACAGGTCGAGGCATTGGCGACTGGTGGTCAGCTTAGCTGAAATGGTGCCGCAGGCTCTGACTTGAGCGACTTGTAAAACCTCCCAGCTGTGCTAGGCATCTGCTGACAATGATGGACGGCGCTGTGCTCCATCAGGAATGTTGTCCCATACGAACACTGGACGGTGCACAGGAAGGCCACGTCAAGAACCATACTAGTTTGGTCGGATGGATACCCGTCAAAAGTCTGTCAATCTCTGCTGCGTCCTATGTATGATAATGGCCAAAGGGGGCATAAACAAGACCAGGCCAGCATCCGCTTGGAAAGGGCATGCCTGCACGTAGGCTCTATATACCATGACTACAAACCATAGACTCCAATAAACGCTCGCCAAGCAATCAAGGCGCCAATATTTTCCGATATCAGTAAAGTGTGATGAGGGCCCTACCTAATGTTCACCTGTTGCCCACCATTCCTGCAAGGACACCAGCACCAATGACACCACCGTCCGAGGCTTCCCGCAAGAAGACCGACTTACCGCTCTTCTGCGGGCCGGTCCTCATGATAAGCCTGTCAATATATTGCTGGCATGTCTCCTTGAAATTGGGGTAATGCTGGATGATGCCTCCAGTGTACGCCACGACCAGCTCCTCAGGGCCTGACTGCCAGTCGGCGGGAGTGGGAGTGGGAGATAGGACAGGAACAACCCTACCATCTCTCGGACTTGCTCCCTCCGGGACCAAGGATGATGGGGAAAGACTAGTATTTACGGCGGCCAGATCCGGAGTGCCATTGTACTCAGGCAAAGAGACATTGGCATTCTGCGGCGAACCTTCGTGGCTGTCCACTTTCAGCTCAATCTCCTGCGCACAAGCAAGCAAACCCACAACCGCTGCGGCTATCAACCCGGCGGATCGTCTCTGAACCGTCCTGGCGATCTTGCGAAATACGTTTGCCGACACAGCATCCCAATGCCACTCGCTGTTCTCCGGCGGGGGCATGGAGCGTGAAAGTTCATCGGCAAGCTCCTGGTCCGACCGAGCACGGGCAACATTATCCGAAACGTAAGTTGTCGTCAGGGCATACTCCTGGATGAGGGTCGCGGGCAATACTTTCTTAGACAGCCCACTAACATTGGTCAGATAATCATATAGGATAAGCCGGATGAGCTCTCCAATATACCGACCGCCCGTCAAGTATTCAAAAGGCTGGAATCCGGGTCGCGCGCACGCCCGATCGAGTTCCACATCCCATTTTGTTATGATGTTGAGTTCCTTCAATGGTGGGTCGGCACCCGCGATCGTCCATTCGGTGTTCACGACCGTCTCCTCCGCCTGCGGGTCCTTCGATTTCACGTGCTTCGCCTTGGACTCATGGAGCATATTCAGATTCATTGGAATTGTGGCATTGCAGCCGGTACCCACAATGATGCCCATAGCTACTCGACTATTGGGCAGAGATTTGACGGCATAAGCAAGGGAAGCAAGTGTAGCAACTGTGTCGTTCGTGATAGCTGCTATCTTGAGTTTTGGGAGTTCAAAGAGCTTCCGACGTTTGCTTGAAGGCTCCGACTCACTATCTAGGCGCCTTGTATGTTTCTCATACCCACTCAGGAGGATCTTGCGCAAGTCAAGGTCTGACGTGATGGCGAATCCTTTGCCCATCGGCATCAGAGTAGCCTCCGTAAGGGATTCTTGCCTGTAGTTGGTCAGATACAAGCCACACCCTGTAGCATCGCAGCGGAGAAAGGGACACTCACATGATCGGGAAACTAAAGGTAATTCCCATCTCCAATTCCTCTGGAACATGGCCTGTTATGGATTCAGAAGTCAAGCTTTCCGCCACCACTTCCGCAATGCAATCTCCGATCCAAGAAAACAGATCCTCGGCCTTGTCCATCTTTAGGTGTTCTTGTATAGGCCATGCTCTCTCAAGTGTCCGCCTGACACGCTGTCTCTGCGCCCTACGAATGGTGTCGCGCGATCTTTCCGACGCGTCTGTGGAACGTGTGTCTGACTCTGTAGCCTCCCCCAGTAGTTCGATGAAAGCAACCCGCAGATTGGTCCCACCCACATCAATGGCCAGGTATCGGCCTGTCTCCAGGCCAGAGGGTAACCTCGTCACCGGTGTCGGTAAGAACTGCTCCTTCGAATGAAGGGCCAAATCCCGGTATACGGTGGAAAACCGGCGCGCCAGTTTATACAAAACCGCTTCATCCAAAGCTATGGGAGACAAGTATTCGTCAAGCACGCGCTGGCGCTCCAGGTACTCTTTTTGAGAGGGGTCCAAGTCAGCGGTGTCCTCTTCTTCATCCTCCACCGGCTCTTCATGTAGATGTTCGTGCTCATCATCCCTGCTTGTACGCAGATCTATCGAATTGATTGGGGCCATGATGTGGAAGAGGCTAAGCCCGGCGGCGAGATAGGCAAGCAGTCGGTCCGTGTGACTTGCAGCCAGCAAACGGAGGTATTTTTGTACAACGGAGCGGTAAGTCGGCGGAAGAAAGTGCCCAAGGATTGGCTTTATCTACTCGCCCCTGCGGAATGTTTTGAAGCGAAGGTAGGACGGGATGTGGGGGAGATCAAGAATGAGGATCCAGCCTTGGGATAATGATAAGGTGCATGCGGACCGAGTATCCCACGATGGTGAAAGGATAGCCAGGAAGTTATTTTTGAATTGGGGGAGGGTGCGCTTAATGATGATTCACTTCCGTAATGGCCAGAGCAGGAGCGGTGAGTTGTTCAGGGGAGGGAATGAGGGAGGGGAAAGTGTTATCTTGCAGGCAAATCTATACAGTGACGAGTGCGATGGTCAGTCTCAAGGTTACATACACTGATGAACAACGGATGGTCAGGTCTCAACATTGTCGAGTGCAGTGACGCGTGTCTGGGCAAATAGGATCATGGAGTCACAGAAATGCTAAGGATGGTACAACGGTGACGATCCTAATGCAGGGAGACATTGGGCAATGCACTGCAAGAGCAGGGGGACGATGTATTCACTCGGAAGGGGAGGGAAGAGGGGAGGGGGTGGGAGCGCAAAAGTAACAATGACACGGACAATGACATACAACCAAGAAGAGTTGCGCTGGTGGAGATCCCGCAGTTATGCTCGTTCTAAGCCCCGAAGTTAGAATAAGGCTGAGCCGAGGGTCGGTGTTGATAATGAAAAATATAAAGTAGTTGATTAAATCAACCAAAATCAATCAATATATTTTTTTTTGAAAATTATCGATCAATAAAAAAGCTCTTGGGAGGTATGCTCGTTTAAGGATGAAAGGGACGGGGATCGACGGAAGAATGGCGGAACCCCATCAATTAAGTATTATGATCATTACGACAAAAAGTAACAACTGGGCCAGCAGGTGGATAAGAGGAAAGCATTGCCGGGTCTCCACACACGGGAGAGAGAAAGCGATGAGGGGAGAGAGGAGTAAGAGAGAAAGAGAGAGAGAAGCAAGAGGGAGAGGGAAAGTAGCGAAGAGGTGTATTTTGGAGAAGTCGTAATTGGGGGGGAAGAAAGAAAAGGGCGAAGACTAGTTACTACTTAGTGACTTGCTAAGTTACTGCTAAGTTACTACTAAGTTACAAAGGCAAAACCTCCAGAGCCGCTGGGATGGAGCCAATGCGACCATCGACAACCAGACGATGTGACGCTGGCCGGTCAGTCGACTACCATGGATTCATGGATTCGTTCGTTGGCTCGATCGGGGCCCCAGTCCGGGTCCCTCAAGGTAGACCCAGAGATTCAATTGCCCATTCCTGGTCTCCCATTGATTGATGATGATGGGATTCTCCTACTTGTTTACTCGTGCTTTTTTTTTTTTTTTTTTTTTTTTTTTTTTTTTTTTTTTTTTTTTTTTTTTTTTTTTTTTTTTTTTTCTATTTTTTCTATTTTTTCTTTTTTTTTCCCCCCTCGTCGTGGTTATTTCCCCTCCGGGGCAGCGCCGTTTCCTTCTTCCTTTTTCTCCCAATTGATTGACCAACGTCACCTTCTCCTCTTCTTCTCTCTTTCTTCCTTATCGGAGACGCCGCTACTTTAGTGCAAGTCCAACTATGAAAACAATGGTGCTGTTTTCCCATCTCAATTATCTATTCTATTCCATTCAAGGAATTATCTCCCTCTCGTTCCATTCCTTCCGCTTACTACTCTTCTCCCTCTACTACTCCGCTCTGGCTACTACTGACCATTTCTATCTCTAGTAATCATCCATTTTCTATCCGGACAAGTCCTCATCGATGTGTATAGTAGGGACTTTCTGGACAACCTCGAAATCTCTCGGTGTTTTTCACGGGCGACAAACGCGCCTGTCTATTACAACAAATAATTAGGAAAGACATGGAGAGCCAAAAGCTAAGGAAGTGATTGCAAAAATAAACGAAACTTGGAGCCAAACAAACCATGTGGTGGGAAAGTGGGGCGATACCTCCATCTGTGATGCACAGACTTGAACATCAATGCCCGTCGAGTCAGAACCCGGTGGCTCTCCCACCTTAGTCTACTCAGGGCGTTGTCTTCCACCTCTCCCATTTGTTGCTGATACCGCGTAGGTGGATAAAGAAGCGTAAGAGAGAACGGTGCTTCGGCCTCTTCGCTTGCCTGGACGCGGTGGTATTTGGCACACGAAGTCCCGTTCTGCCTCTCCGGCTCAACCGTTATTTGGGAAAGCTAAGTGGCATCAGGCCCCCGTATTCCAGCCACACCTTCATCAACTGACCCTGGATTGTCAAGTAACAATAAGCTCGTCGGTTGACGGCGTACAAGGTCCAGATTCATGATCAAGACGTTTATGGAATCCATGCTCCAAATTTCCATGGCGATAGTGAGATCGTTGTGGACCCTGAGATGGTGTGGTACCAATTACTGGCTGTCCAGCTCTTTGTGGGAAAAGCTCTCGCTAGCATCGTGTAGTAAACATACGACCGTAAGCACGATTATCTGGCTTATTAGGGGTAGGACCTTCGCAGACGGTGTCTGGATTCATCAGTTCATCATCACTGTAACCGTCAAGTGTCGATGTCAGACACTAGACTCCGAGGTCGGAGAGCCGTTGAGTGACGGCGGAGCAGGGAAAACTAGCCTGCGGAGTGCGGAGCTCCCGAGATATCCAGCAGGCAGACGTCCCTGGGATCTGCGTAATAGGGGTAGTCTAGGGACCGGCGGACCCTGCAACAGCAGAAATAGGCATTGGAGGTCACTCCTTGGAACCCCCAGCGCCGCTTTACAACTGTTCTTCACAACGGTAGGCAGGGAAACACTCTGTGCCTCACCTTCGAATCAATTCTGGCATTGTGATCGTCAAGACTGCATTCATATCAAGCTCTTTTTGGTGCCTACTCCGTAGTACGTGAGTGCTAGTCAAGTGGAGTCTTCTGAGTACCAACCCTTTGCATATTAGCTGGCATGAGGCCTGCGCAAGCGCTGATGATAGGCCCAACGTTGCCGTTCACCGGTTATTCTATGACCCTATCTGCAATCTATCCAACATTATTAGTCTGTGACTAGCGAACAATCACGCCATGTGATAGACCTTTCGGTAGCGCTTGGAGGGTTGCAGATATCATGCGCTCTTGGATGTACTGCCCGATGCTGGCCATCACAATGCGACTAACCCTCGCGAGCAGACCGGTAGCCGTCAAGCAAACGTTCGCCGACGCTGCAAGAATACCATGCAAGGCCGTGACTGGAGTAAGTACACCCTAGTCACCAAGCTAGCTGATGCCAAGCATTGATGCTTGCATCTTAACAGTGACAGCAAGCATGATTCGTGCACAATCCATATTATACAGTCTGCCCCCCTTGATCTAATTGGCTTTGAAGCATTGAAGGCTGGGATAGAGGCCAAACTACTCCGTAGTGATAGTGCAAAGCCGGGGTAGCATGGTCCACAGTCGGACAGGCTCGCTTTCGCAGATACTACGTCTGGTCTGCTAAGCAGGTTAGAGTAGGATGTACAGTATGGGAGGAGTGGAGTAGTCTTCAAATTAGTTGATTAGACTCTAAGGAATGATGCAACCTCAGGCCATGCATGATTCTTCGACGGCAGTCCAATGTAGGAAGAGATCGGAGAGGTTAGTACGGCCCACGGTAGACATCACAAGGCAGCTCAGAAAGGATACCCCAAAGAGTCAATTAGATCCTATCATCCAAATGGTCGCCATCTGTGGATGAAGCTCTTCACCTGGTAAGGCTGTTTGGGTTTGACCGGGGAGGAAGGGCATCAGTGTAACGAGAGGGCGAAATGCTGGGTTGCTCTCGGAACCCCCCGCCGAATGGTATCGCTGGATCGGATCGCGATCTCCCCACATTCACCTCTGGTCTTACTTTTTTCATCGTCCTCCTCCCCTTCACCAACCTCCATCAACCTTCCATTACTGCTACCGTTTAAGTAGCGGGTGGTAGCCAACATGGAAAAACTACCAACTCAATCCAAAGCCGACAGTTCCGGCTATGTCGACCTTTCCGAGTCGTCCGTGGCGCGACCGATCAGCACCCGTCGCGACCGGGTTGTTACTCGGCTGGCCGCATGTCTGGGGCTCATCACCATCGCCTTCCTAGCTTTATCGTGGACCCCCATCTCCATTTCCGGCCTTAAGCTCTTCTCGTGTCATAGATGGAGAAGACACCATGATGCTTCGTTTCCCCCGGACTTGGGCGCGGAGGAAGCTCCGTTGATGAGTGGCCCACTGCATGAGCTGTCCACCCTCGACGGAAGCCTATCCTCGAGTAACAGAATTCCCCTTGAAGCTCATGTCATGAGTAAATGCCCCGACGCTCGGGACTGTCTCCAACAGCTTGTCCTTCCTGCTATGGAGCAGATCAGCGATAAAGTTGACTTCAAGCTGTCTTTCATCGCCGCGTATGTAGACCTCCTGTCCTTTCGACTTCCCAGCTCGGAACACTGACACTGCCCAGCGTATCGAACAAGTCATCGGAGATCCAATGTATGCACGGTCCCACCGAATGCATCGGTGACATGCTCATCCTCTGTGCGGCTAATTTGCCTTTTCCGCCTGACTCCGGTGCCATGTGCTCCAAGGAGTCCCGTACTCCAACCATCCGGTCGCTCGGATTTGCCAACTGCCTTATCAGCTCGTATCCCGATATTCCGAAGCGCGACCTGGTTCATGGATGTGCTTTGGAGCATGGTATCGACTTTGAGGCTCTGAACAAGTGTGCCAGTCGAGAGTATGATGACCTTGGCGACGACGCTGATAGCGACGAGCAGACACCGCTTAGTGGCATTGCTCTGTTGCGCAAGAGTGCACTGCACAGTGAGAAGGTCAATGTCAGGACCAGCTGTACGCTCCGACTGAACGACTCTACCTGGTGTGTCCGGGATGGTGGAGTCTGGAGGGACTGCGCCCAGGAAGGAGAGGGCAGCAAAGTCTCGGTGCTCGTGGACGAGGTGAAGAAGCTGTGGGACAAGGTCAACTGAGCCTTTGCTGTGCTTGGTGAGATACTAATAATGTGCTATGACTGATGTGACAGCTTTTCCGTGATGCAAATGATGTGTGAGGGCAACCTATGCTATATCCAGTTATGACATGTCTTTAGCCGAACAGTTTGTATGCCTACTACTTAATCATAATCATTGTTTGCTTTCTATCATGCTCGGGTTCCCTTTTTCTTTACTATTTCGCATTGTCTATCCCACTCTGATCACTTTAATCCGTTTGCACTGTTCAATGAGCCCACTCAGGCTGAACATGCAGCTCTGTGCAATAGTTGCGCGCGCAGACCATACACAAATGCGCCCTGCAAGGCAGACCCGGCAGCAATTCACTATCTGTTAACATTTACCGCCTAGTGTTTATGTGTTGTTGAACAGGTTCGATATCTCTCATCACTACTCTCCTTGACTTTCATACCTCTTTAGTACACTGTTTCACCTACTCATCAGCAAGTGTACATCTCCATAAGCGTCCCTATCATCGATAAGTAACTTCTCCCAAGTCTCCGTCCCCAAAGCTTTGTCTGACCCTCCACTTATAGAAAAGCTCGCCAAGGCAGCAATCATGGCCAGTCGCGACGTCCAGACTTCCGAGTTCTTCCAGCGCAAAGTGGACGAGCTCGTAAGGAAGTATGATCGCATCACTGAGCCCAATGCTGTTCTGCAGGCCATCCTTCAGGATCCCGAGAGCATGAGATCTCTCGTCGATGCAGTTCAACGCCAGGCATCGCTCGTGAGACACCGGTCTCGGAACGTTGAAGACGCAGAGATTACTGTCTTTGACAACGCTTTGATGATTCTGTCCAATGGTGGCCATGATACCCAAGACGTCGGAGCGCTCGAACTCTACCTGGCCGAATATCTTGGGGTCTGTACCTTTTCTCCCATTGCCCATGCTAAACAGGCTTTGCATGACCATGACATCCTTCAAGACACTGTGACCAGAGGTGACTACTTTCCCTTCTCCTTTTCTTACATCTAAATTTAAACAAGGACAATTCCTCATTGGCTTCGCAGCAACTGCATCCCCCAGCATCACCGACGAGGCTACAGCTACAGAGGAGCAACCCCAGACTCCCGAGCAAGCGCTCAAGACTCTCGTCCAAGACAACGAGCACTCTCGTAGATTGCAGCACATACTTCCTCCAAGACCACCCCCCACCCTCGAGGAACTTCGTCGCCGCGAGCAAGTGGAACGATTGATTCAGATGTACGAAAAAGCCAAGGCAGAATACAGCAAGAAGGACCCCGAAGACATTGACATCAGCTTGGCCAAATACTTCCGCGATACATCCGAAAACACGCTTCACTTTCTGCGAGTCAACGACATGTCGGACCATCCCTTGATCCCCGATATCGAGAACTCGTTTGAACGTGCCAAGGGCAAAGCTGCTCAGTTGGCGGGCCGCGGACGTCACTTCGACGAGCCTCGTGCAACTACTTCCACCCACAATCATCCTTCCAAGAAAAGAAGGGGACGTCGTCACCGATACCGCGAGGTTGACTCCTATCGTCCTGGCAAGCAGTGATGAGAATGTGGAAAGGCTGCTGTTGCTCGATAGGCAAGGGTTGGTTTAGTTACTGGCGTTTTGAAGCGTTCTAACCTCGGTGCATTGGAGGGCGTTTTCCTGTTTTCAGTATGGATGCTGAAGCTTCAAGTTTGAATTGCAACATGGCAAAGCGGGGAAGTTTAAGAAACAGAGAGGCGGGAGGGAAGCGTTTCTGTTGATAAAACAACTATCTACATAGCTGGCAGGTACTTTGTAGTTAAGAAAATGACATGAAGGCTTGGCGCAAATCGGTGCTTTAGCGGCCACCACGTGCCTCCGATCTGCTTTCTCGAAGTTGACTTGCTCCAACGCGTGTACGTAAGCCTCCGATCAGTAACAATTCCATCGCATTCAGGGCAAAGCAGTCAATCCCGACCAGCATTGTTGGTAGTGGCCGGGTCGTTAGACTTTCAGGAGGCATGATTTTCTAAACCATCCCAACCCCTCCCCAATCCACCAAAAGATGGCCTCCTTGCGCCCCGGCCCGACCGAGGCCATCTCCGTCTCCAGTGGATCTTCGTCCACACCTCAGTATACGCCTGTCTCCGATCGCTCCGAGAATGATGGCTCCCCCAATCCAAACCGTCCGGCAGCGGGGTCTCTGAGAGTTCAGACGGCCTTCAGCTCCGATGGGGAGTCGTTTACTGACGACGGGTTCGATGAAGGATATGATTCCTACGAAGATGTGCAGCCCCTTTCGAGTAGTAGAATTAGCATGCCAAAGTACACGAAAGAGGAAGAGGATGGAGTCATCAAGCAATTCGATCGCAAATTGGTCCCTTTTCTAGCTCTTCTCTATTTACTATCATTTCTGGATCGTTCAAGTAAGTTGGTTCGTCCTTGGCGCAGCCAAGACCTTCTATATAACCCATCTCAAGATTGGTATCAGCTAACATACGCCAGACATTGGAAATGCCAAAATCGCCGGTCTCGCAGATGACCTGCATCTCTCATCGTCGCAATATGAATGGCTTCTCACGGCCTTCTACATCACCTACATTCTCTTCGAATGGATGACCCTCATGTACAAACTCGTCCCACCGCACATCTACATCGCTCTCTGCGTCTGCGGCTGGGGCCTTGTCGCATCTCTCCAGTCGCTCGCTACTTCATTCGGGGCTCTCGTATTCCTGCGAGCAGCCCTCGGCATCACCGAAGCAGCATTCGGCCCCGGCGTGCCCTTCTACCTCTCCCTCTTCTACAAGCGCGAAGAGCTCGCCTTCCGAAACGGCCTCTTCATCTCCGCTGCTCCCCTCGCCTCATCCTTCGCCAGCAGCCTCGCCTGGGTCATCGTCCGCGTGAGCGACAACGGCCCAATTGCACCCTGGCGCACCCTCTTCCTAGTCGAAGGGTTCCCCAGCATCGTCGTCGCCGTCTTCGCCTGGATGCTCATCCCCGATACACCAGGCAGCGCCTCATTCCTAAACCCCCGACAGCGCGCCATTGCACAGCTGCGCATGGATGACGAGCTCAACCCCAATCACAAACCACACCAGCAGCAATCGCAGCAGCGCAAATCCTTCAACTGGAAAGAAGTCAAGAAGACACTCACCGATTCCAAATCCTATATCACAGCCGTGAGCTCCCTCCTTCCCCAGATTACCACCCATCTCTGAACATCCACTCACTCTCAATACAACAGTTCATGTTCTTCGCCTGCAATGTCGCCTTCAGCTCCATGCCCGTCTTCCTCCCCACCATCATCCAAGAGTAAAACCTTCCCCCCCTCCCCTCTTCCCCCGACTCAATCCAAAACTAACCACCAAAAACAGCATGGGCTACACATCCCTAACATCCCAAGCCCTCTCAGCCCCACCCTACCTCCTCTCCTTCCTAACCGTCCTCCTAACATCCCACCTCTCGGACCGCACCCGCACGCGCAGCCCATACCTAATCTTCCACGCGCTGCTCTCCGCAACCGCCTACCTGGCAATCGCCCTAGCGGGATACTTCCACTCGCACCTCCCGCCCGCCATCCACGTCGCCATCCGCTATCTGGCCGTCTACCCCGCCACCTCGGGGTTCTTCTCCGCCATCACGCTCATCATCACCTGGACCATGGATAACCGGCCCGCGAACGAGGGGAAGGGGGCGAGCGTCGCCCTGCTGAATGTTATTGGGCAGTGCGGGCCGTTGCTCGGTACGAGGCTGTATCCGGCGAGTCAGGGGCCGTGGTATGTTTCCGGCATGGCGGTCTGCGCGGGATGTATGGTGGGTGTGGCGGTGTTGGCGGGCGTGTTGAGGGTGCTTTTGGGGAGGGAGATGAGGGGGGTTAGAAAGGGGGAAAGGGATGATGGTGATGGGAATGATGGGGAGGGGATTGAGTTGGAGGAGAGGGAGGTGCTTATGGGGGGGTTTGGGGGTGATGGTGGTGGGAGTGGGAGGGGGGAGAAGTTTACGTATATTTTGTAGATTGCTGAAATTGGGTAGCTTTTATTTATAGAAAAAAAGGATGTTAGTCGTTGGTTGAGTAGTGGGCAATGTGTGGTGAGTGGAATCTAATGAATGTTTAGATAGATACCAAAGTCATGGTTAGACCATGAGGGAATAAATGATAGATCAATGGTTTCTTTCTTTCTTTCAAAGGCTAAAGCCTATCGTATCCATTCAAGCAAAGTGAAAAAGGTTCATTCGAGCCAAACAGCTATCAGATCATCCCATTAATCAAACCAGTTCATTTGACGCGCTTTAAAACCCTCATAACCAAAAAAGAATGCAACATAAAACTTTAAAGCTGGTGATGAGGCCATGAAGAAAGATAAGAAAACCGTATGTATGATACATCAAAAAGAAGCCATGGGTATGTCCCCCCTTTCCCCAAGAAAAAAGAATCATCCATAATAGTAGGCGACTTTTCGAAATGCTCATCCCTTCAAATAAGGCTATTTATAGAACTCCTCCCCGGATGGACCCTCTCTAAGTACCATTTCCCAACGTGTTGTTTATTTATTGCCAACTCCGGTAGTGATAGTTTTTTCTTTTCTTCGTGATCTTTGACGAGGTAGCGGCATTTTTTACCATGCGGTGTGGCCACCGTCGATGAGCATGGTGCTGCCGGTCATGAAGCTGCTCGCGTCACTCAGAGCGAAGAGAGCAGCACCTCGGAATTCCTCCGGGTAGGCAAGTCGTCCGAGCATGTTCTCGGCTTCCCAGACGGCCCGGGATGCAGGGTTCTGCTGGAACACCTGTTCCACCATTGGGGTGATGATATGGCCGGGGCACAGGCTGTTTACGCGGATGCCGTGACGGCCCCATTCCATGGCGAGGGACCGGGACAGCTGGATCACAGCCGCCTTGGAGGCGTTGTAGACGGGAGAGGTCATTCCCTTGTTGGCGATCAGACCGCTCATGCTAGCAATGAGAAGGATGGAACCCTTCTGTTGGTAGTTGAACATCTGCCGCGCAGCAGCAGTGGCCGAGTTGAAGACTCCATTAAAGTTAATTTGCATGACTTCGTTAAGAGCCACCTGCGAGTGTTCCAGAGCGCTCTGCAGGTGGTTGATTCCTGCGGCGGCAATCAAGCCATCCAGTCGCCGGTTCTTGCCTGCGATTTCCGCAAAGAGGTCGTTCACTTCAGACTCATCCCGGACATCAATACGGTGGTACTCCAGGCTGCCACCATAGTTCTTCTCGGCATGCTCTTGAGCGGCGAGGAAGTCGGGGTGGGGAGTCTCAAGTCGATCCAAGCAGTAGACTGTATACGAAGATTTAGGTTAGAAGTCGCTCCAAGGGATGAATTTGGCTTTTGTAGATCCTTGGAATCATACCTTTCGCACCAGCCTCCATCAAAGCTTCAGCCATCGCCAATCCGAGTCCTCGTCCACCACCAGTGATGGCGAAGACACGATCGTCAAGGTCAAACTCGCGGAACCGGTGGCCCTGCTTGGGCTCGCCTTTCAATGATGGTATCCGGGTTTGGATGTGGTGAGAGCCATGAGAACCTGACCCTGTGGAGTGCAGCCGCTGCGACATAGGCTGGATCATGGCGGATGGTGCCCAAGACCGGGCTGGGGCCAGGGCCGATAGCGACCGGCACAATACAGAACGCATGGCGATGGTGCGTGCAAGATTATTAAGTAAATTAAAGATTAAGATATAGACGAAAACGGAATGCAAATCAACTGTGCACGCAAAGTGAAGAGTCTTTGGCTACCACAGGGGCGCGATGGCTATAGAGAATATCGTCGAGTCTCCATTGTCTTGGTAGGAGAACCTGGGGTTTATAGACCTGGAGAAGACCACCGGACAACGACCCGTCGAACAACCGCATATCTCCAACTGTCGCACAAGACATCCGAAAATAGAAGGAATCAGAAAAATATGATGGCCGCGTGATTGCCTTGATGGGTCCATCGTCAGATTCTAGAGCTGCTTTCACGATGACTTCAAGACCCAGACCACATCATCGCCCAAGACCATCCGTGGTACCAGGGCTGGTCCATGCATAAGCTATGGCCAGGAAAGCTTGCCACAGGGCAACGCAGGGCGGAAAGGCAGGCATCGGACGCATAGCAGAGCAATAGGGGGGAATGGTGGTGTCTGAAGCAGGCATCGTGACTTCTCTCATTGCTTGGTTGCTGAACCCGGCAAGTCATCCTGATCATTTGATCGAGGGATGACGATCAATCATTCATTAAAGTGGAATGGCCCACCAGAACGGGATATCCGTGTACGGGGAGACCGAGCTGCTGGATCAGATTGGAACCGACGCTGCTGCAATAGCGGTCAGAACAGCTCCATCAGCGACCCTGACGGGCAATCCCCTATATTGGCCACAATTGAATCAGAGGACTGTTTCTACGGAAAATGAATCCTCGGATGTCTAAGTCGTTCTAATCAGAGAACGATGGGTAATGGTGGTGCAAGAGGTAGCGCGCAAAAAGCAGGGTAGGAGCTCACCCCGGCTTGTAGTTCCGAAGGCTTCCATGGAATGGAACCCTCCAATAACGGTCTCGGCATCGAAGTGGTGGTGTAATTAATCTGCCCTCGCAGCATGGAACCGTCCCCACGGCATCCGCGACCCCATCCTGCAGCAAGATAAGAATACAGTACTTTTGGTGGAATCCGGGACTTGGAAGGGCTGCCCTTTTCCGGGTATCCTTGCTGCGTCGGCCCCGATTTTCATGGGGTCATTCAACCTTCTAGATTTTCTCCCCAGTGCGGCGGTGATCTTCCCCACGCTTTGGGCGGGTTTGAGAATAAGCAAGTATGGCACATGAGAGATTCATCATTTCATAATCCCAAATGTCGGTGGCCTCAAAATTCGCCGATAGGTCATGCCGGTCTCCCCCCTTTCTCTGCTGGCGGCTCTGAGTTGCCGGTTGTTCCCAAAGAACTCCCAAACTGCCATACTCCGCATCCCCGTAATTGACCCAGGGAGGGCGTAAGGGTGGTGGTACTTTTGCCACTATCGCACGAAGCTTCCGAATAATGACAACCCGGGATGGTACCATGGATGACTCCGACGGCATATCATTGTCCCAACGATCGGAGCATTCCAGGGTGCAGATTCCTCCAGATCTGCCAAGCTCGCCCTGCCTTCCCATATTCGAACCCTTCTTCTTTTGACCTTTCGCCCCCCTTACACGATTAGCATTCGATCCAATCTTTTTTGCGAGACAGAAGTCCAGTGGCAGCCGTATGTGCAAGACAGGGGTGAGAGCCAAGGCCAGGATTCGGGGGAATGGGGAATGGCGGGAGAATCCCAACATTCGACCGAAGGAGAGAAAAGAAAACAACAATTCCTCCTCTTCCGTACCGGCCAGGGTGACTTTCCTATTTGGGTAATCCGTGATAGGACCGAACACTGATCATGTGCATCGTCAGACTTTTCACGTTTGTTTATCAAATAAGGTGTGCAGAGAACAGCTGTCGCGATCCTGCAGGTAGTCTAGACTGCACCGACCGTCCAGATGGGTGACCCTTCGTTTCATCTTTGCACAACTGGCCATCTGCCTGGACAAAATTCGGACCTCCGGCATCTCCATTCGATACTAATTATGCATGTAAGCATGAACTAGCATGTCAGCTGGGATTAGTGCTTGATTATGTCTATTCAAATGAGACAAGAGAGTTTGCCCATCCGGAAGCATATCTGCGAGTCTATCGATTGATTGGAAGCCCCGTGGAGTAGATTGTAGCATCCTGTCAATGCGGCAAGATCGGTTAATGTTAATTGATAATTTGGAGATCCTTCAGTCTAGACGAATCTTCAAGCCCAACCACACTTGGACGGTGACCATAATCGCAGGAAATTGGGCGTCTTTGCTTGGGAGGAAGAAGACGCGTGGAAGTAAGTACGTATATGTTTACGCACCGGCGCGGACGAGAAGCAGATCTCGCCCGGAGGTCACGTTCCTCCTGGCAGAGCACATGGGCCTAGAACAGAACGCATTACAGACAGAAGTCTATCCATAGCCACTTTCCTACACCGTAAAGTCATGCTATTCATAAATCATAACGTGACATGACAGTCATATCTGTCTTCGCTGCTCAGGAGCCAGCCACGGCTCGACCGATTCCAATGCAATGTGCCAGCAATGAGCAGCCTGCTAATTATGCCATTTCACCGAAAGTACCTGCAGCAGTGACTCCAAGTCCCATGCCTCCATTAGCATTACCAAAGTCCAGCTTCATGAGCAGACGGTCAACACCAGCCGCTTTCCGAGGCACGTAGTGGATGGAAGCAGACTCGGTCGCTGAGCTATTAGCTTGGAGCGACCCATTTTCGCGTGAGTCCTTCACAAATTCAAGCATCTGCCGCCCTTCTCCAGATCGGCTGTCATCAATGTCTCGCAGTCGTGCCACAGCGTCCTTAATTCCTGCTTCGACACTAGCCCGCGCAACACTGAGTGATTGCCATATCTCCCTCTCTTCCCCTGCATAGTCTACTAAAGCATCAACAACGCCCTCATCGGTCTCGAGGTCCATGTTGCGCTGAATGCTTTCCAATCGAACTACTAGTGCAATAAAGTGTTCCACGCTCGTCAGTAAGGATCGGAGGGCTTTAGTAAAGGGTATGTCCGTGAGGAAAAGAGATTCAACAAGAGAAAAGAGATAACGACGATGTGCCGCGGTCAATGTTTCAGGGTCATGCCGTTGGACCATCTGACTATCTCCTCCGGAACCAGATTCGGTCGGGTCGTTTATGGCCTGAAAATGGTCGGTGCGCTTACTATTAGCGGAGGACGCGGTTCCAGGTCGTGAGCCCGTTGTTGGGGATCCACCTTTGATCCATTCTCGAAAATGTTGCCAGTTGCCATTAAGAACTTCTCCCTGGAAGTAGCTCCCTAGTTCTGACAGAATAAAGAGGGAGGCACTGCTCGTTGCCCAGACTGGCCTCATCTGCCGAGTCCTGAGGTTGTCTCTTTGTCTGCCGAGCTTTAGTCTACTCTGGCCGTAAGGAGTACTGCTGCGAGGTGGACCCCACGGGGATGGATGGATCTTTCGAAGGAAGGTATGCTTCCACAAGTCGCCCAAATGCATCTGGGCGCGTCGGATACCAAGAATGTAAGAGTGGATCTTCGAGTAGACTGATATATCAGAGGCGGACAGAAACAAATCGAGAGGCGAGCGGACGTGGACCGAGAGACATGTTGGAGTGGGGAAAAGAAGATCGTCAAAGGCGACGTCCGAAATTCTAGCATTCATCTCAGATCCAGCAAGATCGGGAGACAGTGCTGGGATATTGTCAACATCCTGTTTGATCGACAGCCGAAGCAGCTCTTTTGCAAGATCAAGCTCATCGTCTGCGGGATCTTCTTCGGTTTGCAGCGAGTAGAGCTCTGAGAGCGTCTGTGACAGAGCAGTCACTACATCTCCTTCCTTAATAGAAAGCCCCCTAAGATCTGCTGATGGGTTATATCTGGAGGCTGAATGCCCGTGTTTCCGATACCTCTCTTGAATGCGTGTATCGGCATGAGATACCAGAGCCGTTGCAAATTCGCCCCGTCGGAGTAATAGAAAATCATGGAGAACTGAGAGGACTTCGAGAATCTTGGGTAGTGGGAAAATCTTGGAGAGCGTGCTTTGGGACAGAGAGAACCGGATGGCATTCACAGCACTCGACAGTCTCGACGCTGATATAGGTGATTTCAATGCAGCAAGCTGTTCTATATGTTCCGTGTGTAGTGTGACGGAAGTAGTCGATAAGCCCGCAGAGGGGTTCGCAGCAGGTGCATTGCGCTTTGCTCTAATGAGATTCAACGTTTTGCCGATAAACAAGATAGATGAGGCTGTATGAGCTGTTACAAACTGGGGCAGGAGCTCTGGATGCACGACGAATTGCGGGGTAGCGGGCGGTTGATCATGGCTTGCATTATCGCGTTGTATGAAGAAGTCGGATCCGCCGAGGATGGGGAGATTTCCATACAGCAACCAGGGGGACAACTGCCTCATCCAAGCAGTCTCTGCGATACCAACCAAATGCAAGGCCATATCTTTCAGGTCAACGTACCCTGTTTGCGTTTCCGCCCGAAGGTGATCGATCAGAGCCACGCCCGTGCAAAGCTGGTCTATATTCCGGGAGTCTATGGGCCATATCAACCTAACCGTCTCCCACAGCCATTCCAATCGCCGCGTCCATGGAGAAAATTCGCCAACAATCGTCGACAATGGCACGATTCCGTAACCGCCCACATAACCACTATCCTCTACCAGAACCGATTTCTCCACTTCTAAGATTTTCCTTTGAAATTCGCCCAGGTGGCGTGAGCTTATGGCCGTCGATACTGCGCGACAAATAACAGAAGGGTGGGAGGAGGAAATTAAGGCGGTATGTGTTCGTAGTTCGGTATGGAGACGGCTTAGACGGGCAAGAGAGGCGAGGAGGGCTTTTTCCGGAGGGGAAACCAAGGGAAAGGCATCTTCAGAGATAGCACTTCCTTCAGTCTCTGGATTGAAAAGAGGTGATGGTTGACCCGAGAGGGAGAGGAGGATCTCGTGGAGCATTGTGCGCGGATCTCTCTGGAGACGATAAAGTCAGATATCTAGCCAGGCCCAGAAGTACCAGAGTAAAGAACGAACCTTAAGGAATGATCCTTATCTTTTCTGGATTTATGACGCTGCCAGTATAGAAGTCCACATCCAAGAAGTTCGTATCGACACATGTGAAGAAGTTACCCTACAACAAGCCTCTCTTGGAAAAAAGGCACGGGTCACCGCGTTGTTCGACGCAGTAAAGCCGCGGCGCGTCGCGAAAGAGGTGCGGCGTAGAAAAGATGACTGAGGATGGGAGTCTCGTTGACTGTCAGACATCAATGTTGGACAGAATTGAGGCCAGGCCTTATCCGGGACCGATATTCATCTGGATCCGAGCACCTCCGCCGAAGATGTGCCTCATCACCGCCGCTTCAGCTGCTTTGGAGCTCATTGTCACTGACTGAATGGGAGTTGCCGACTTGCTGCTGGGCGTGTCCGCGGGGCTCCAGCCAATGAGTGGCGGTAAACTCGCTGAGTCAGCCGCCGACAGCTTGTCCCTCTCTCTTACGTCGCCGCTGAGAGAGCTCGCTGCATTAGTGATCCATCTTTCCTCCTTCTTCCCCGCCTCACCTCACCCTTTCTTATATTATATACTGCGATACCTGCGCCTTTTCTTTCATTCTGCTTTTAAAAGTCTTGCTCTTGCTCTAGAGTATATTGTCCGTCTGTACTTTGCTGTCGCTTTCATCTCATCTCGCCTCGCCCGCTTCCGCGTACCTCACCGCTCCTACCCCTCCTACCTGACTCTTTACATCAGGAGTATACTGCCTGAAAGTCTTGCTCCCAGCGGCAAGACTTTCATCTTAAAGTTTTCACAATTCCCACCGAAATTCCCGTTCGCGACGCTGCGAAGCTGGGAAAGCGAAGAGCGTCTGCCGACAACAAAGCTCCGCCGGAGAAGAAGATCATGACTGTATGTATGCCCTATCACCCCGGTGATGCCAAAACAACTGCTTTGGTCCATCTTCAGTTACTGACCAGACTTAGGACGCCAAGATGCAAGTGGATAACCCACAGGAGACTGTGGAGGCGATCAAGCAGGGAGAAATCGATGAGTCGTTGTACAGCCGGCAACTGTAGGTGTTCCATTCCCATATCCGTTTGCCACTACGAGACAGATACTGATGGGTTGTAATGTGTTCAGGTATGTCCTCGGTCATGAAGCTATGAAGCGTATGGGCTCTTCAAACGTGCTTGTCGTCGGATTGAAGGGTCTGGGTGTCGAAATCGGTGGGTACAACTTCTTGCGTTATCATCTGAACAACTTTATTGATTGCTACCAGCCAAGAACATCGCCCTTGCCGGTGTGAAGTCCCTCACATTGTACGATCCTGCCCCTGTCGCCATCTCCGACCTGTCCTCCCAGTTCTTCCTCCAGCCCCAAGACGTCGGTAAGCCGCGTGCCGAGGTCACAGCTCCCAGAGTTGCAGAGCTCAACTCCTACGTTCCCGTCACGGTCCACGAGGGCAGCAATATCGCCGAGAACCTCGAACAGTTGAAGCGTTACCAGGCCATTGTCCTCACCTTGACTCCTTTGAAGGAGCAGCTCGCGATTGCCGACTTCTGCCACAAGAACGGCATCTACCTTACGATCACGGATACCTTCGGTCTCTTTGGCTATCTCTTCAACGACTTTGGAAAGAACTTCACTGTCGGTGATGCGACCGGTGAGGAGCCCGTCAGTGGCATTGTGGCGGCTATCGACGAGAACGGCTTGGTCTCCGCTCTGGATGAGACCCGTCATGGCTTGGAGGACGGTGATTTTGTCACTTTTTCCGAGGTCAAGGGCATGGAGGGTCTCAACGGTTGTGCTCCTCGCAAGGTTACTGTGAAGGGACCTTACACCTTCTCTATTGGTGATGTCTCTGATCTGGGAACATACCAGAGCGGTGGCATCTACTCTCAAGTCAAGATGCCCAAGTTCATGGACTTTGCTCCTCTTAGCGAACAGATCAAAAACCCCGAGTTCATCATTTCCGACTTTGCGAAGTTTGACCGGCCACAGCAATTGCATGTTGGTGTCCAGGCACTTCACAAGTTTGCAGAGAGCCACAACGGCGATCTTCCCCGCCCCCACAATGATAGCGATGCCCAGGACGTGTTCAAGATTGCCAATGAACTGGCTTCAAGCCTCGAAGAGAAGGTGGAACTGGATGAGAAGCTCATCAAGGAGCTGAGCTACCAAGCCCGCGGTGATCTGAACCCCCTGGCTGCCCTGTTCGGAGGCATTGCGGCGCAGGAGGTCTTGAAGGCGGTCTCTGGAAAGTTCAACCCTGTAAAACAGTGGCTTTACTTTGACTCCTTGGAGTCTCTTCCCACATCCATCACCCGCTCCGAGGAGGCTTGTAAGCCTCTCGGCACCCGCTACGATGGTCAAATTGCAGTCTTCGGCAAGGAGTTCCAGGACAAGATTGCCAACGTCAAGCAGTTCCTCGTGGGAGCAGGTGCCATTGGGTGTGAGACGCTGAAGAACTGGGCCATGATGGGTCTTGGAACTGGTCCTGAGGGAAAGATCATTGTGACCGACATGGATCAGATCGAGAAGAGTAACCTCAACAGACAATTCTTGTTCCGTAGCCGGGATGTTGGCAAGCTCAAGAGCGAGTGCGCTTCCGCTGCTGTGCAGGCAATGAACCCTGAGCTAAATGGTAAGATTGTCACGCTCCGGGACCGTGTCGGACCCGACACTGAGCACATCTTCAACGAGGAGTTCTGGGAAGGCCTGGACGGCGTTACGAATGCCCTTGACAACGTGGACGCAAGAACCTACGTCGACCGTCGTTGCGTCTTCTTCAGGAAGCCCCTCTTGGAGAGTGGAACTCTCGGTACGAAGGGCAACACTCAGGTTGTCCTGCCTCGCATCACTGAGTCCTACTCTAGCTCCCAAGACCCGCCGGAGAAGACCTTCCCTATGTGCACGCTGAAGAGCTTCCCCAACCGGATCGAGCATACTATTGCTTGGGCCCGGGACCTTTTCCAGACATACTTTGTCGGCCCTCCTGAGGCTGTCAACATGTATCTGTCCCAGCCAAACTATATCCAGCAGACACTCAAGCAGGCTGGTAATGAGAAGCAGACGCTGGAGCACCTGCGTGACTTCCTGGTCACCGACAAGCCCTTGACCTTCGACGACTGTATCGTTTGGGCCCGTAACCAGTTCGAGGCGCAGTACAACAACGCTATCCAGCAGCTTCTCTACAACTTCCCGCGCGACTCCAAGACATCCACTGGGCAGCTTTTCTGGTCTGGACCTAAGCGTGCGCCTACTCCGTTGAAGTTTGACAGCGCAAACCCCACTCATCTTTCTTTCATCGTTGCTGGTGCCAACCTCCACGCTTTCAACTACGGTATCAAGAACCCCGGCGCCGACAAGGCCTACTACAGGAAGGTCGTTGACAACATGATCGTTCCCGAGTTTACCCCCAAGTCCGGCGTCAAGATTCAAGCGAATGAGAACGATCCTGACCCGGACGCTCAGGCCACTGGCTCGTCCTTTGACGACGGCCAGGAAATCCAGCGCCTCGTGGACTCTCTTCCATCCCCCAAGGATCTGGCTGGCTTCCGCTTGAACCCTGTTGAATTTGAGAAGGATGACGACACAAACCACCACATCGACTTCATCACCGCTGCCAGCAACCTGCGTGCCGACAACTACGATATCCCCCAGGCTGACCGCCACAAGACCAAGTTCATTGCTGGCAAGATCATTCCTGCCATTGCTACTACGACAGCGTTGGTGACTGGTTTGGTCGCGTTGGAGCTGTTCAAGATCATTGACGGCAAGGACGACATTGAGCAGTACAAGAATGGATTCGTGAACCTTGCGCTTCCATTCCTGGGCTTCAGTGAGCCTATTGCCAGTCCCAAGGGCAAGTACATGGGTAAGGAGGGCGAGGTTACAATCGACCAGATCTGGGATCGCTTCGAGGTGGATGATATTCCTCTCCAGGACTTCCTCAAGCACTTTTCCGACATGGGATTGGAGATCAGCATGGTTAGCTCTGGCGTTAGTCTCCTGTACGCCAGCTTCTATGGGCCGTCTAAGGTTAAGGACCGTCTTCCTATGAAGTATGTACCCCCGATAACCACAGATTGTATTACAGTACTAATCACTTATGATACAGGATGAGCAAGTTGGTGGAGCACATCAGCAAGAAGCCCGTTCCGGAGCACCAGAAGAACGTCATCTTCGAGGTGACTGCGGAGGATCAGACGGAGGAGGATGTTGAGATTCCGTATGTGATGGTGAAGCTGAGAAAGTAGAGGGGGTGACCGGCACGAGAGCAGAAGAAGGCCCGTGATCTCTCTGGATATGTCCGTTTACGCACTAGATGCCACAGTATAAGTAGTTTTTATCTTTTCAATTAAATTCTTATAGGAATATACTACTGTCTATGTTCCGCGTTTCTCAAGGATAATATTGACTAAGTATAAGCTAATGTTAGTGATTCCGCGAAGGATGAGGGATTGATTAATTAGTTAATTACTGAGCAAGCTGTTTGTCAGCGGGAGGCTCAACTTCCCGTTATTAACGCCTCCGTAAGCAATGCTGTAAGCAAAGCATCACGTCATTGGCTCCCCGCACCCCATCGGTCAGCGTCTGGCCTCGTATCGCCTCGTCCTACTTTTTGTATATGAACGAGCTCCCTGCCCCTCCTTGCCATTGCCATTGTTCCTCATGTTTCCCGCTCTCCATCGACTTCGACAAGTCTCGCAACATATCTTACAACCCAAAGCTATCTCCAGCTTTCCACGTCCAGCTACCTGCAGAAGCTCTTTTTTCCCCGCACAGCCTATCTTGAATTCAGCACGCACCATGGCTGTAAGTCACCATTATTCCCAGCTGTCTTTCCAAATAGTATCAATTCTTTAGTACTAACAATCCGCGCTCACCTAGACCGGTAACAGTGGCAAGATCACAGACTGGGTCAATCCCAATGACAAGTCGGGCGAGTTCAAGCGCCAGACGTCAGTCTTCCGCAACTGGATCTCCAGAGAGCCTGGCGCTCAATTTCCTCCCGAGAAGGGCCGTTATCACCTCTACGTCTCTTACGCCTGTCCTTGGGGTACGTTTCTCTTCCTGTCCCCAGACTAGATTGACACATACTAACGCCACAATTCCTCGCATAGCCCACCGGACTCTGATCACGCGCAAGCTCAAGGGTCTTGAGGATATCATCTCCTTCACCTCTGTCCACTGGCACCTAGGAGAAAAGGGTTAGTTTTTCCACACACACACACACACACACACACACACACACACACACACACACATTGAGCAATCCGACGAAAACACACTCACAGAATCAAACAACAGGCTGGCGCTTCGCAACTGCAGAAGAACAACAACCCGAAGAAAACGTCACCACCGACCCTCTACACGACTACACTCACCTGCGCGAAATCTACTTCTCCAATGACCCCGACTACACCGGCCGGTTCACCGTCCCCGTTCTGTTCGACAAGAAAACCAACCGCATCGTAAGCAACGAGGTAAGCACATCCCCCCATCGCCTTCCCACCCAAAGAGAGTGCAAAGCGTTAATCTTCCTTCGACAATAACCAGAGCGCCGAAATCATCCGCATGCTCTACTACGAATTCGACGACATCCTCCCGGAACCCTACAAATCCATCGACCTATTCCCCTCGTCCCTCCGCACGGAGATCGATTCCTCCAACGAATGGATCTACAACGACGTCAACAACGGCGTCTACAAGTCCGGCTTCGCCACCACGCAAGAAGCATACGAGAAGGCCGTCACGACATTGTTCTCCTCTCTCGACAAGATCGAGGCCCATCTGTCGGATTCGAAGAACGGGCCGTACTTCTTCGGCTCGGAGATTACGGAGGCGGATATTCGTCTGTTCACAACAATCATTCGCTTTGATCCGGTCTATGTGCAGCACTTCAAGTGCAATATTCGGGATATACGGTCCGGGTACCCGGCTATTCATCGCTGGATGAGGAAGTTGTATTGGGATGTGCCGGCTTTCAAGGAGACGACAAACTTTGAGCATATCAAGTTCCACTATACTAAGAGTCATAAGCAGATTAATCAGTTTGCGATTACGCCGGTTGGGCCGTTGCCGGATGTTTTGCCCAAGGATGAGGAGGTTAGGGCTGTTAAGGGTGCTTAGGGGGAGTTCTTTGGTGGGTTTAGGATATGTTGATGTTAATAATATGTAAGATCTCTGGTATAATTTGCAAATATGCAAGTTGTATTTCAGCTGAATGTGCAAGCTATGTATCTCTCTATATCCATGTATCGACGCAGCAAGTGCGGTGTGAGGTATGACCCTACGTACAATCAAGGGAAAAAAAGGTAAAAGAAAACAAAAAGAAAAACAGTCCACCCCGGCGACACCCCCCATGAAATTCAATGTACAGAAGACAAAAGCAATGTGAAACTCCATAGCAATGCTTTGTCGCGCGACGCCCTGCCATGCTAGTCAAGCCGGTCATGCGACTCTCCCAATCCGTGGGGAAGCTGGCTATCCAAGTAAAATAGTATGTAGATTCCACGATACCAGCAATGAGTGAGAAGTAGTCAAAGCCATCGGGTTGTTCAGCGAGAAAGATGCAGCAATAAAAAAGAGGGACGGGGATCTCTGACGGGGAGTGGTGTGTGGACTAAAGACAGATCCACATTATCGCCCTAGAGAGATGTTAATGTGCCCGTGGGGGCTTTATGGGTATCTCAAACGCAATGTCTAAAAACGGTGGTAAGTAGAAGGAAATGCGAGAACATGGCGAAACAATCGGTAAGGTTCCAAGCCACGGCATCAATACAGCCAACTCTGTCTCTGAGCGGCAAGACCCCGAGACATGTTCTGCTAACGCCGTCTATTTCAATCCGAGCATCCGCTTCGAATTTTCGTAGACGACATAGCTGATGGACACCGCAGGTGCGACCTTGAGAAGATTCGGCGTCAGCCCTTTGTAGAAGCCACGCAGTCCTTCGGTCTGTATAGTCTTTCGAGCGACGTCTCCAATGCCGTTGTAGGTCGCGGGATGCAAAACGGTGCCCTGGGCTTGCATTCTCGTCCTGAGAACGTTGAGTGGATAGACAACCGAAGCGCCAAATCCTCCACTCATAGCGCCAATCGCTCCGGTGGTGAAGTTGTTCAGGGGCACGTCGTCCTCATGACAATTGTTCAGGCGAGCTTTCCGCGCTATTAAGGCTCGCTTCATGTATTCGAAAGTAGACAGATCGATGGCAGCGTAAGGAAACATGCCAACAAGACCAAGTGGCAAGCCACGGAAAAAGCCAAGTAGGCCGTGTTTGCACCACACCTTTTTGAAAGTAGCTGCGATGAGCTGGTTTCCCTTCAGGCCACCTTCGACGGTGTCACACTGCATGCGACTAATAGAAAGTTAGTTTGGTAACACGAGCGAATGATACCAATGACTTAGAACATGACTTACAACTTCAAGGTATCAAGAGGGTAGACGAAGCACCTGCAGATGCGTTAGATCAGCTATTGATGGAAGTATGCTACTGCGACGTACTGTGCAACCATTCCACCGCAGCCTCCAGACAGGAACTGCGATACAGGCATGAGGCGTTTGGGGTCACCATGGCCCTCCAGGCGGGCGAAAGCACGTTTTGCAGACTGTCGCACGTCAGTCACATGAAGATAAATCTGAGTTGCATCGAGCAGTTAACTCACTTCATAAGCACCGAACTTGATGGCTGACTCGGGCATGACTTTTACAACGTTCAGACCGTTGCCTGTGAAAGTGAGAAATATGCCATAACATACATTAACTAAGAGTCTTACCTGCGAACAGACTCCGGATACCGCCCGCACGCCACAGATCTTTCACAGCTTCGACGAGGGTTTTCGATGCCTTCCCGGCGGCACGCAAAGGAGCGCCATCCTTTGCTGCGCGAACAGCTGAACTTTTCACGCCGGTTTGAGCAATGAGATAGACCTTAAGTCGGTCTAAGGGTGCGGTCGCTGTCCTGGACACTGCGCCTGCGATACCACCGGCAACGAAGTAACCTAATTGAGGAGTGCTTTCGGTCAACTTCTGTTCATAATATCGGAAGGACATCCACATGGCGACGATCCTGGGTATGGGCAACCACTCCAGTTCCAGGTCATTGTCTAAGGGTGTAGAGTCATCCTCAAACGCGACCCCAACCTTGGACACGCTGGTGGCTTCCGCGTAGGCTGAAGGAATCAAGAGTGTCAAAATGTGCACTGGGAAAACGTTGGAGAGGAGGTTCTGTAAGGCCAAGATATAACGTTTAAGAAACGAGTGGTCTGTACCTAAGCCCTGCAGATCATTGATGTGGACATCTCCTTCCGGGTTAAGATTTCCCGTGGCGGTGTAGTATGACAAGACAGCGCGGAGGTTTGAGGACGAGTAGGCCGGCAGGAAAAGAAGAAAATCCCTGGATACCAACAGGTCATTAGCTGGAGACTCCAGACACCTTCAGCTGACCGCTATAGTACGTACCTCCACTCCGCATACGAGATGACGCCATCTTTATTGCTATCGACCTTCGCGAAGAATTCTTCCAGCCTTGCGTTGGAGACCGTGACCCCGGATTTCGAAAAGGCGGTCTTGAGCTCATTCTTATCGATCTCGCCGTTATGATTGTGATCTATGCTGTCGAACAGTTGCCAGAGGCCGATTTCGGTATGATCCACGAAGGTTCGGAATTCTGGTGAACATTAGGTTGGAAAAACGACTGGCGTCTATAGCCAGTGACACTTAAGGGAGGATATGAGACGCTATGGGAGGTGCGACGCATGATCTTACCAGGATAATCTATGTAGCCATCCCCGTTGGTATCCACTGCCTTAATGATATCGCGTAACATAGGGTCGGCATTCTTGAGTGCTGTTGCATCCCAAGCCGTCAGGTCATCTGCACTCGAGCCGCACGGGATCATGTCATGATCGTGACTTACGGTGATCGATCTTTTTTAGTCCTTTCTTTAGACCATTGAAGTCAAGATGACCTTCACCCTTGGTATCCAAGCGCTGCCAGAGTTGGGCGACTCTCTGGTCCCGATCTTTTTGCGACTCGCCAGTGTCCATGTTCGGTGAAAAGTGATTCTTATCACAACTGCGTCATTATTTTTTTAAGGAGGGGTCGGCGGGTTTGAAGAGGAGAGATTCCCTGTCGCAGCAGGGCAGAAAGTGAAGGTGAGTGAATAATTTGGGCATCGAAAATCACTGGCGGGTGAAATTATGAACGAAGTGTTAATCCGGCGTTCATGATTGTCGATTCAAGGTCAGCTGGGGTGAGGCCGACAGCCGTGAGAAATCCAGGCGCGATGATTTGCTTTCCTTTACGACATGAACCGGAAGAAAACTAGACCCCGGCCCGGTCGTCACCAAATCTCCCGGCTATTCCCGTTTAGGCGCCTTTCACTCCCGCCTTTCACTCTTGCCTCCAGTTCGGCCCCTTCGGAGTCCCATCTCCGACCTGCACAACATCAAACCTCATCTTCACTCCGATTGCTGAAAAGGGGTATGTGCTGCCTTGATTCAGGCTTGTTACTCCCCTCGTCAAAACACCCTCCAGCTCTCCTGAACTAGTGGGTCATATACCATACCAGCCACACTTCTACAACCCCCTCCCGGATGCCCAAAGCCAACTGGATAATCTGTACCCATCCAGCACCTCTTAGGCCCAAAGGGAAAAGCACTATGGTGGCTGTTGCTACCTCTTCTATACTAGATTAATCCCCCCACCCGATACCCTTTTCCCGCTAGACTCCCAACAATGGCTGCTAATTACTGGGCATCAACTCAACGCCGACACTGGCTCTTCACGAGAGAGAAGTTGGCAGAGATACGGGAGAACTTTAGAGAGCGGGACATGGTCGCTCATAGTCAGTTTCCTTTGCCGGATCAAAGGTTGCTGAACATCTATTTCAGTCAACGTAAGATAACATAGTATATACCCTAAATCGGTGGGCATCCAAGCTCACCAGGCCAACAGAACTCATCAAACTGGGGAAACGGATGTCTACTCGACAACAAGCACTTGCGACAGCGCAAGTCTATGTCAAGAGGTTCTACACCAAGAACGAAATTAGACATACAAACCCGTATCTTGTCGTCACTACGGCCTTCTATCTGGCTTGTAAAATGGAAGAATGCCCTCAACATATTCGATTCGTCGTTGGAGAGGCTAGAGGTCTCTGGCCAGGTACGGATCACTCGCATATATGCACCCTGTGTGCTTCCCCGCTGACGTGGCTACAGAGTTTATTGCCCCAGATGTTTCCAAACTAGGGGAATGCGAGTTCTCTCTGATATCGGAGATGAACTCTCAGCTTATTGTGCACCACCCATATCGAACATTATCAGAGCTTCAACCCGAGCTGTCACTTACGTCAGATGAAGTTGCTCTTGCATGGTCTGTAATCAACGACCACTATCTCACCGACCTGCCGCTCTTATATCCGCCTCACGTCATCGCTGTCATGGCGATTATCGTCGCTGTGGTCTTCAAGCCCAGCCAGACGAGCTTTCACGGGTCAGCAGCACCGCTAGCCAGCGCGATGCGCGATGGCGGCATGAACATTCTTGCCGCATTGGGGGAGAAAGGCGGCAACGGCCCTCCTCCCCGCATTCAGCGACTTATAGGATGGCTTGCCGAGAGCGAAGTGGACATCAAAGCTGTCATAGAGTGTACTCAAGAGTTGGTGTCGCTGTACGAGGTGTGGGAGCAATATAGCGAGAAGCATTGCAAAGAGCTTCTGGGACGGATGGTGAAGAGCAAGAACCTGGACAAATGAACATACAATTCTCATGCACATACATACATAGGGTTTTCAAGCGGCGTTCAAGGGGGGTCAGTCATGTTATTACGAAAGCATGTCATGCGCGAGCGATACTGGTTTTTCATCAGATCCATATTTCGGGTTTCGGCTGGTTGCAGATTGTTTCAAATCAGTTGCATTATCGCATAGTCCAAGTGGATGCCATGGAGAATATAATGAGATACTATAGATACTTATATCATAGCAAACAAACAGATTTCAGAGACAACAAACGCCCGTCCTCCCTCCGGACCAGACTGAATATCCCGCATGTCGGTAACCAACCGCCTTCAACATCTACAGATGACGCACCGTACTATTCATTCCACCTGTAAGCCATGAATTCCATGAGATCAATACTATCCCACTAGCATACAACACCACCCCATCCCAGTGCTACTACTCCCTGACACATACCCAACCACAAACCCCATCTGTATCCTATCCAAGTACCACAAACCAAGACCCGTAAGAACCCAATAACGAACAATTGCAAAAGGCCACTCACCCCTTTACCTCTTCTCCTGCATCTGTACCTGCCTAGTGCCTACAGTACGTCCTACCCAGCTGTCAGAATGTGTGGAGTCCCTCCCTCTGAGTCAGTCAGTAAGCAAGCCAATGTCGAACGGCATGTATGATTTGACTTTCAATTCTACCAAGGGTAATTAAGTTCTATCTATCTAGCTGTTTGCAATAGTGTTTACGCAGTCACTAGTCTAGTGCCCTTGTTGCATGCCGATGGTATCTAATTCTAATTATTACTTACATACATACATACATACGCTCGTTTACAAGGATGTATGTATGCAAGTCCTGGTTTGTTCCTAGAGGAAGATTCTGGAATGCGTGGGGAATTTGCATTCTGGCATGTGGTGGTAGACTAGCTACGTACTAGCTAGGGATGGGGGGAAGGGATTGAAGGGATGTATGTTATGCTTGGGTGCGTGGATGTCAAGCCGACTGTGATTTAGATAGTGACCACTTTGTTTTGGTTTAATCGGGCTTTTTGTGTGACGCTATTTCTGTCAGTTTGGAGGCTAGACTATGCGACGAGATGATCATGGTGGATGGATGTATCGGGTATATCCGTTGAATGTAGTATGTATAACCTTCAAGCTTTTTTTACTCTTTATCAGCTTTACCACTAGTTGAGAATCAATCTTGCACGGGGAACCGATCACGCAGTTCAGTCAGGCAGTAGTATTGACAATTTGGCCCAGGGCTTACAAGGTTTATCCCTCGAAATTGGAAAGCTATTTTCAATTGAGTTTCAGTCCGAGTTGACCCGTTAATAATGTCAATTTACTCTCCCCGTTTGCAGGCGTGACACAGGTACCACTTCAGCCATACACTCTGTTCTGCTTCGCCGATAGATCCATATATTCATGAACGCTACAACTCAGATCCCCTTTCAGCAACTGAGGATATGATGTCGTTTATTGGACACCTCTAATGCAACATGGGCGCTTCCTGAGACCGTTGGCCAGACTAGGCAGGAAGATCGTGTTTCATGTCCCTTGCTTCGGGGTACGTATGTGGGCGGAGATACACTTGCGCACAACTCCAGTCTTCTTGTTTGAGGGGTGAATACCTCCCGAGACGGATGGACAAGGACTATCGTCCTATACACAGGCGAGATCAACAAATATTCCGGAAATGGCGTCTGGAGTGCAGCAGATCCCGCTTCACGGCCGCCCCCCCGCTCATCAAGCCATGTACGTATACTTGTGTACACTCCAGGCCGTGTTGCGGGCTGTGTATCTAGGCCTTTTCTTCATAGCGCTGCAAGACATTCCTCCCAACAGGGGTGTTTGTATGAAATCTGGTAAAAGAGAAATACCAATTCAATACCAAGAATACCATACATACGGCAGGGATGGAAAGAGTCCGATCATAGTTAGTAGCGGCATCGGATGCCTCGAGGCTACTTTCTAGTAGTTATCGGCAAAACTTACTTGCTGTATGGATCATCCCCCATAAGCATGATCCAGTGACTCTACCGGATTTTTCTCAGTGCGCCCCTGCCTTGGGCATCGAGATGCACCTATCATGAGATGAAGATCATACAACAAGGTTCCTGGTCCCGAGAGGGGCAACTCCAGACTGCGTTGCATTCCCCATCTACCGAAAGGGCGGTGAGGTGGTCAGATCTTAGCAGGGACATTATCTTGCCGAATGGGATCGGGAATCATGTCTCATGGGGGGGGCTGGCTTCTCAGCAGGTTTACTTAGCACAGTTTGGACACGGGAGAAAAGTGTGAGAATACCACTCTGGCATCCATGGCTAGTAATGCCCAATCGCTTGTGCAGACAGGAAAGCGCCCCCATTCCATCCCAGGTCGCTTGAGAGTGTGTACGTTCCTCCTACCCTCGGGACTGCATCCTGCAGTAGTCTGCAGGTTTGGAGCAGCTGTGACCCTGCTAGCATGCGTTCTAAGCCCGATCCATAATAGATTATGCTGCCATGGCTGTTCCAGTAGCCGCCATCATTCCTACCGGTCTGTTCCCTCCACCCCCTCCTCCTCCCCTAGATGCATCCCCATCCTGCATTTACGCTACCGTTGACCAGTGATACGGCGTTTCAACCCCTGGGTTTAGCGTGTGCACTGGAGGGTCCAGGCGTCGGGGAAGGCAGACCGCAAACTTGTTCTGCGTTTATTGGAAACGAGTACGTACTGTAGATAATGAAGTACACCTATGTGTCGTGACAGCAGATGGGTTGACGGAGGATACTAAAATCTACATTGCTGCTATTCTTGTGAACGTTTACTGCATGGAGGAAGGTGCAGGGCCATGCAGTGGTCGTAGCGCTTGCCCCATGTGGATGGATGGGAAGACCGGGAGCAGATCCTTAACAATGCAGAGCAGCCAAGCCCAGTTCAAGATTCGGTTCCTTTGTTGACGGCGTTCTCCGTACCTGATTGATTTTTGAGATGAATGAGATGAAAAATGAAGAGGAGGGACTCAAAAACAAACAGTGCCTATACGGGCATAATTCTAAACGAGAAAATCATTTGTTTGTTTATTACTATTCCGTAATATATTTCTGGTCCGAAAGTACTACTGACAATAGTATCAGCTGACTATCCGCTCAAAATGGAGAAGATCCAGATATTGAAGTGGAGGATTAATTTCTGTTATGGAATACTTGTCGAAGCCGTCGAAGGGTGGCCATGGCAGGAGCTGCCCGTTATTAATCTCATTAGTTAATGACAATCTTCAATGGTTGGGGGGAAAAGACAAAAGTAAGATGGCCCGAGTCCCCGCCCGCCCACTCTAAGGAGGGCGACTCTCCCTGAAAGTTGAAGACAAATTAGGGGAGGAGATAATGGGTAAACGGCAATAGTAAAGTAGGTAGGCTTAGAATGGAAAAGGAGCGCCCCCCGACGAGACCAAGTGGCACGGTTCAAGGGAAAGGTACCGAGAATAACAGCAACGAAAAAGAGGGTAGCTAGTCTGGTGGGGCTCACCACATTTTTTGCAAATCATTACCCGCAGGTGTCGTAGTGGGCATTTTGCCTGCTTGCCAGCGCATGCCTGTCTTCGGAAGTGGGAGCCACATACTACTACTGTGTACTCCCTCTTACCTGCCCTTTTCCCTTTCTGAACACGAAGTGATTGGGGGTTCGATACCTGACGAGGTACAGGTACGACGGGAAGGATCCTCCTGGTGACCTTGAAAACGACCCAACACAGAGAGAGAGCCACTACAGAGCATTGCCACGATGTTCTTTGCCATTGCCATCGTCATCATCCATGCATCCGCTGATGGGCGAGATGGATCGATTGATACTCCATTAGCAGTGCAGATCCACAGGTCTGTAAGAGACAGTGTTCTCTATCTAACGGCAGTCTGCATCATTCAATTAATGAGTGTATGTAAGTAGGCATCATTGCACCATCATCTGTAATACTCATGGGCTGTTCATGACGGTAATACAGCCTTAAAGTCCAGGCTGAGACCCGGTCTTCATCCGACAGCCGCTTGCACTCGTCACGGTTAGATCGAGTACACCCATATATTAGGCGTCAAGGGAGAGGGTGCGCCGCTCCATTCCTGAAGGGGACTAGATCGCTTCCTTTCGACGTCACTAAGACCCGCTTGGTAGCCGATTAGAGCAGTCAAAATCGGTGTTTTATTGGCTTAACTGACGGTGGCTGCCATGAGCCCACTACAGGGGGATATGACTGGACATCGGGGCATTAACTTGCCACTGAGGATCCATTGACAGGGATCTGGTTGGTCCTCACCCTGCCCTAAAACTGGGTGCGTGACCAGGTTAGCGCGGAAAATCTGGGACTAGGACGTTACAGACTTACAGACGATACCACGGATACTTTACAGACGCCTCGGCGAGAGAACCACTTGTAACCAGTAATGTCCTTTCACTCCCTCCATACTCGTGGATGCCACCGGTAGGAAAAGGCTGTGTGTGTGTGGTAAGTACAGGTCACGTATGTTCCCTTGCGGATCTCCACCGACGTGCACTTTTGCTCAGCCCCAGTCGAATCACAACTGCAGCCCCTCTTGCTCTCAGTCTCTCGCCTCCGTCCGCTCCGGGCGCTGCGACTCTTTTCTCGCTCCCGGTCTTCTTTTCAACTCTTGTCCCGCCATCCGTTGATGATTCCCCATCCCACAACACTAATCGCAAATTCGCCCGCCCCCCGATCTCTTACACTTTCACTCTCGCATTCACTTCCCATTATCTCTCTTACCCATCTTTACTCCCACAATCTTACTCTTTTTCTTCCTTATTTCAAATCCGCTTTTCCTGCTTCCGCACTCTGCATTCCGTCCGACCGCTTGTCATTCTTCCACCTTACTCCGTCTCTTTTCTTTGTTACTCTAGTCCGTCCGGAGTTGCGTACTGTCGGGATTCCTGAGCGCTGGTCTTTGTTTATATCCGCCCTCGAATTCCTCAGCATACCCTTTCTACCGATATAACTTCGCTTTACCTTTTGTTGCGTTCGTTTCGCCACAACCACACAACAAAATGTCTACGTTCTTCTACGGTCACCAGCAACAGCACCAGCACCAGCAACACCCTCACCACGGTGCTGCCGCCCACATGGCCAACTCAAACAACCACCATGGGGGTCGTTCCCGTCGGGGACCCAAGATGACTGCCCAGAATGCTCAGCGCCAGTTCAGAGGTGTCAAGAGCATGCGGGAGCTTGCTGAGGCCCCTGCTGTGACTGCTTTCCGTGCCCGTTTCGAAGCTGGACGGTCTTTTGACCTGGATGACGACCTGGAGTTTTGCCCCAGTCTCCTGACGGAAGATGATGTATGTTTGTCGAACCCGGCCTAGCACTCCCTCCCTCTCTCTCCAGCCGTTCGTACTACGGATATCTTGGCTGCCGACCCCATACTTTGATGGAACAGCTTGTTGACCCCCTAATTTACAGCTGCACTCCATTCACTCTGCTTCCTCGGATCGGTCATCTCTCTCCAGTGGATCTCCCGATACCTCTCCTCTCCAGCATCAAATCCAGCCTGTCCAGCAGGTCACCCCCTCCATCTCCCTGTCTCCTGCCTCCAGCAACTCCTATGTTCACTCAGGAGTTAGCGGTAATCTTAATCACGTGAACTTCCAGCAACCGTCCGCAGTCCGCACCCGCAAGGTTATCCCGATCGTCAACCCCAATACTGGCATGACCTTGACGAGCCCGCCTACGTCGATCTCCCCGGCCTCGATGCAGAATGCCCAACGTCGGTGGTGAGGACCGCGATTCTGGCAAGTCGCCGTTCCATTCGGCAAAGGGCCGCTTAGGCTCATAGCATGTTTACCACGTTCGTCCGGCTTCTGCATCATCGGGCTCCCTAACCGCGGGTTATAATTGTTACTGCTTTGTTTTGCTTTCTGTTCGACACGGCCATCGCATTCTTACGATTCGACTGATCTTCCCTTCTCCTTTTTTTGGCTTCACGAGCGCAAAAACAGCAAAGGATAAACCAGTGTTTCTCTGTATATACACCTTACTTCGATGACGACTCGAGCAACTTATACCTAGACTGATGCTTTCGGCTTCCTGCGAGCGACGGCGCCTGCGATCTTCGATTTTTTGCATTCCACCTCAAACGATACCTTGTTTTTATCTTACGGTTAGGGAAACCCTTTTGTGCTTTGACCTCGAGTTTTGGCCGCGATGATGTATAGAAAGCGCGGCGATCGGCCATTCAGGCGCGCATCTATGGACCGGAGTTGCTTTTTTGGTTTCCCACGGCGGCTATGCCAGATTTGCTGTTGGCGGTTATACCTCATCTTTTCGGCTTGGTGTTTTGTCAGATTTTTGGGTGGGATGGATCATTTTCTCATGCTTTTCAGGGATTTAGAAAGGCGGAAACGATATATACGTCTGCATTGATTGGGCTTTGCTGAGTTGTTTGGGATGTTTGGCTGGTTTCGACCTACACTTCGCATATGTTTTCCTTTCTTGAAAAATTCTGTTTGTTATACCATGTATATGGGTTGGTTGGGGAATTGGTGACACGCGGTGCTTGTTACTTTTCAGGTCAACTGGCTGTGAAAATCCATGGATTGGATGAGGAGTTTTTCCTTATTTTCCTTATTTTTGCTGGGGGTCACACTCGCCTTCTTTCGCGAGATAGACCACTGTCTTAATGGGAGTTGTCAGTTGACGACATAATTCGCTTCTGTTCGCCTCCACGTTGATTCGTTCGGATGTTTTCTTAAAGTCATGTTCTTCGACTCCTGGGGACTCCCGGAGAATGTGATGCAGTGTATGATCTTCCTGATTCTGTTCGCTTCTTGGGTATTCCGTCTCTTACCATATCTCCTTTGTCTATACGCTTTTTTTGGCTGGAACTATGGGGGGTAATGCCTATACATAGTTGTGAAATTAGCTTTGGACTCCATTCAGTCGTGAGACTCTTCCACAGTAGATGTAGGGATGAAAGTAGTAGTTTTGTGATTATTGCGTCGTTGTAGAAATCCGCCACATGACCTCATAATCTGGGGTGATATCGTATCATGCAGGTTGCAGATTGAGGGGCAATAGAGCACAACGGTTGCTATCGCAACGGCTAGCTTTTGATGAAATAGTAGTTATCAGATTGCCGTATTTTAGTTGGGGTTGAGTGGTCGACACTCGATGCTGTTCAGAGGCCGAGGCGGATATATATTCGTAGGCCCTGTAACGGGTGTGAACCAACCACAACGTTCGCAAAACCATAGCATTGAGAGGATCTGAATGCAGCCAATGCACTTAAATTGCCAAACAACCAGCAGAAAATTGAAACAATCTTCTTTCTCATGTGGTGATCGCCTACTTATCTTGTTGTAATGGCATAAGAGGAGTGGTTCAAAGTACGTGATGTCATATCCTTGATTTGCGGCCTCGAACCTGGAAGACACTGAAGTCTCTTTGCATCCAGCAACACTTTCTCCGAAGACAAGCATTCAATTTCCTCTCTTTACTTATACTACAAAATCAGCATAAGCAAATACTATACTAATTAATGAAAACAGTCTCTTGATTTATCAACCAAAAATATCACTCAACTAACCCTATATACCGTAGATTAGAATGGATGAGGGACTAACTAATAGTACATCCCGAAACGCAACAGACTCCATGACGTCACCGCTACTACAGCCAGCAATTCCGTCAAAACTGGCATTGAGTAATGGCTGCCAACTGATTCACCCGAGGTCGAATGGGACTCTCTTTTCCCTGGAATTGATGATTGGCAGTTGGAAGGGAAGTTCTCGCTTGGTAGGGAGGGAAGGAATAATATAAGTACATAAGGCCGCCGCTATCCATCTTTTTTGCTTTGGATACTATCTATCTAACATCCAGTTACATCTAAGAGATTGCCACTTATCTACACAATTTATCATATATCCATCCTTGGAATTACTGAGAACTACTTCTTGAGAAGTGTAAGTCCACTATTATGCACTTTTCTTTTGGAATAGGTGGTTGTTAGGAGTGGAAGAGATAGCTTCGTACTACTTACTACTACTACTTCATCCTCAACCAGCGGTCTATTCCCTCTCAATCTACTAAGAATTAGACTAACAACAACACCATCAATCTCAATCCAGATACAACACCTAAAAAACTACAACTACAGCTACAACCACCAAAATGTCCTTCCTCACCCCAATCCGCGCAACTACCCTCCGCCTCTCCCGCCCTGCCTTTGCCTACACCACCACCACCACCACCTCTCCTGCAGCAGCAGCCCTCCACACCAGCATTCCTCGTCCAGGCTTGAAGGAATCCGATCACAGTGAGTCCAGTCCAGTCCATACCACAACCCTCCCGGGATACATTGTGTCTAATATAATTGAAATCAATACACAGACCGCGACGACCTCGCCAACATCTACGAGGCTGAGAAACATGACCAAGTAAAGAGCAGCAAGGAAGGCAAGGCCAAGTGGAAGCAGGAAATTGCTAGTGATAGTGAGGCGTCGGTAAGGTTCTTCTCAAACTTAAGATACCAGATTCCTAATTAAACAAAAACAAGAAGTCACGATGCTAATGTATTTATTTCTCCACTGGAACAGGTCAAAGCCGATCGCGGCGAAGTAGACAGTGATGATAACAACTTCGGAGCCATGCAGGAACGGACGAAAGGGTTGCCGAATAGGGATGGGCCCGTGAACAAGACTCAATAAATTGTTTTATTCTTTTTTATCTTTGATAAGAATTACTTGTATTTATGATGGGTTTGGATGGGTTGTTTTTTGATAAATGTAAATGAAATTGATTGTGCTTCTTGTTGCTGCTGCTGCTGCTGCTGCTGCTGTTATTGTTTCTCCGATCGAGTGAGTGGCTTGTGAGTTGTTGGGATTGTGATATGATGGGTCATTTGGTGTCTATTGTACGGAGTACTTCTGAGGGATATATATTATTATTTACTTCTACATTATGGTATCAAAAGCAGGAGATTGTATTCGGTTCTGCTATAGAGTAATCCAAAGGAATGATATATAGTGTATTCGAAACAGATGCCGGGTGGACTGTAAAAAGTGTTAAAGCTGCAAGCAAATATACCTATTGTAACGCCACAGAATCCCTTCCACCAACCCCGATGGCTTAGTAGTATGGACAACTCCAATTCAACGCAAATAACGCCATTTCGCCCCAGGGATCATCAACAGAGTACTCCGTAGTAATCCCGATCACACAACAACAAGGTCATGACAAGAAGTATCATATACGAGAGGAGGGTCCACACACCCACACTCACTTGAGCAGGACGATCAGTATGACGAGGACGATGATCAATCCGATGATTGTCATCATGCTCCAATTCTCACTCGCACTTCGCCGAAATTTATCCAGCCGGCGTTTGGCCTTGTCTAACCGACCCTGATGCCGTTCCACATGGCCATCCATGTCATCCAGCAACGCAACATGGCCCTCAAGCTCATCCCCGATCTGGATACTGAGCTGGTGTTGTCGTCCGATGGATTCGCCAAGTCGGTCTAACTGCTCGTCTTGATCGCGCATGATCTGCTCATGATGATCGTAGACCTGCTGGTTGGACATGTCGGATGTGTCGACGCCCTGTGGGGAGGGCGAGTCGCGGTATGGCTGGAAAAGGTTGCGGCGATTGAGATCGTCCTCTTCGGCGGCATTGTCCATGAAACGAACTGATTTGGAAGAAGGATGTTGCGGGACGGGCTGTTTCAGATCCGGTGATGACTTCTTGATGTTGGTGAACTCGACGGGATCGTCTGCTGCTGCGCCATCCGAGCCGCGGAATTGGGATGTCAGGTCTCGATACTGGGAGTATAGGTGGTCGAGCTGGTCTCTCATCTCGGTGGCGCTTTCATCGTTGGCTTCTTCTAGTCGTGCGCAGTCGGATTCCACGGCATCGATGCCCTCTTTCAAGGAGTCGAGGGAGCGTGAGATCTCGCCATCTTGACTGTTGGGTTCGAGGTCGAGCGAGATGGCTCGTTGCCGTTCGAGGAGCGATAACTTGATATGGTCGGCAAGGAGCAGGAGTTGTGAAGGGTTTGGCATGGCGGAGAGGGATGTGATAGAGTTTGAGAATGCGTGAGTATGGTATTGGGGGGAGAGCCGGATGAGGAGAGAGAGAGAGAGAGAAGGTGGACAAGGCTGTGAGGTTGTCTTAGCGTCGGTCAAGCCCAGGCAATGCGGAGATGTCGGAACCGCGGCGACTTGCAGATGACAGGGAAGGGAGGGGGAGAAGTACAGTACATCCACGCAGGGACTGCCAAATGATGGAGCAATGAAGTGGATATTTTGCTGAAGCCAGAGGACCAGCCCGGGTGGATGGAATGGATACAACCCAGAGGGCCTCGTTCTCGGCAGATCTGCCGCTTCCGCCGCCATCGTCTCCATGTCCCATATTTCGCCGTCATTCATGGTTATCCACATTCATTCCTCTCTCTCTTGCTCTCCCCCGCAATGGCCTCACTTTCCTCACGTCCACCTCCTGCGGCCACCCTCCCCCCCCTGAATTTTTGTTCTTTTCTTGGTCAAACCTTCGTGTCAGCCACTGTGTAACTTTCTGAGATATATGGGTGTTTGCTTTGTGCTATTGTTTCATCATCCCGACCCCTGTGGCATCTGGACGGTCGGTCCTTTCATTTCTAGACTTACCTCCCCCTGTGCAGGACAACTTCGATCGGCGCACGAGCCCGTGGCTTGACAATATAAGCTGAACCATTCCTGCGTGGGAAGGGGGTTTGGAAGTATGACATCCATCACTCTCGACGAGTCGCTCGCGATGGAGGCGAACTGCGACCGAGACGAAGTTGTCGACTTGCGCTCACTGGAGTTGGTCTCCAGCTACGATGACCACCTCATGTGCCCGATATGTCACTGCCCTTTCGTTCGCCCCGTGCGCCTTCAGTGCGATCATGTCTTCTGTCAGAAGTGTCTAAATACTGCCATCACTGCGTTCTCCCCCAGTCCGTTTTCCCCCGGTCGCGACGACTTCACCTGTCCTACTTGCCGGACCCCAACGAGGGGTGTCTACCTCAACGTGCCTCGTCTGCTACTCAATATGTGTGATGATATCAAAGTGCGATGTCCTTTTCGGGATGAAGGTTGCGAGGAGATTATACCGAGAGGGCACATTCAGTCTCATGTCGACAAGTATTGTGGCTACAGACTCATGAAGTGTCCGGATAGCTCTTGCAACAAGAAGACCCGGAAGAAGGACCTCAGCTCTGAGGGTCGGTGCTTGCATGAGCTTCAACGCTGTCTGCGGTGCGACGAGTACGTCGCGGAACAAGACTACGAGGTATGCATGTTGCTCCCAAGCCATATAACGTTGCTAATGAAGTCCTGCCACAGGAACATGTCAAGGATCTATGCCCGAGTCTAAAAACGACATGCCCCGACTGCCAGATAAACGTCCTACGCAAATCACTGCGAGAACACATCGACTCCTGTCCCGAGGTTGTCCATCCTTGCGCGGCATCGAAGTACGGCTGCCCCGTCAAGGTGAAGCGTGCGGACTTGACGACACACGAACAGACCTGTCCACTGATAGCCATGGGCCCGTACTTTGAAGCACAGAATGCACGGCTGGATTCCCTTGAACTTACTATCCGCCACCTTCAACAGCGGAACGAGATTTTCGAGGACGGAATTTCCAACATCCGATCGACATTAGCCCAGTCGACTCGTACTCTAGCCGAGCAAGACTCCCCGACAAATTCCGACGCCCCCCGTCGACGAGATTCGACCAGCAACCAATCTCAGATCGACAGCTCCAACCTCTATACCGCCACTACAACGAACTACTTGCTCTCTCTCCATGAATCTCTCCGCGAGGAGGTTGGACAGCTCTCCAACGCCATCACGGATCTAGACGCCCGCGCCAGCATGGCTCTCATGAACGAATGTCTTCGCTTGAAAGAAGACATGGCACACACCAACGCAGCCGTGGGCAGCATTCGCATGCAGGTTCAATGGCTCCTGAACCCCCGTCTGCATCAGGGCCAGCGAGCAGGTGCACGTCCAACTAACGCCAATGGCAGTAGCAACCCTGCGTCTGCCTCAGGACCCAGTAGCGCCGCTGGCCCGTCTACTGCTTTTCTTCGACCGCGGAGACTCAGCGATAGCGGACGAGAGGGGACTAAACTATGATAGACAACATTCGTCCATTACTATGTGCCCTATAAATGGGTAACGGCGTTTGTTACTTTGACTCTTTCTTCTTCGCTATCCACTTGGTTGCCCATATACATGTGGTTAATGATCGGTGCTTGGCGAATACATTGGTTGCGACATGATGTGAAATGATATCCTTTGCTTTGTTGTTTGCCCTGGTCCGGTTCTGGTTGTTCTTCTCTTTTCATACCTGCAAGTGCAGGTCATATGTGATGTGGCTAAATGCCTTTTATGTGCACACAACTACAGAATATCCAGCTGCGATATGATATATCCCATCATGATACACACACTCTTGCCATGTATGTTGTTGCACTGTACATATGTTTTCAGTTCTGAATTGTATATACTAGACACTCATTCCGGGTGTCTCAAATCAATACTTCAATACATGACTCTACACAACATGATCCACTGAATAGCTTGCTAATCATCTACCATTACGGACCGTCATACCAACAATTGAACATAATCCCCTCTACTCACTCCTCCCCACTACCTCAAAGCACCCACGCGGACGCAAACTATTATTATATATCAAAAGTACACTGAGGTAACTATGACTGATATAGATAGATGATTTCTGAAAGTGATCCATCCAGTGGATATATACCCCTCGACTTTTGAACATACCTATTTATTTATTCATTTCTCAATTTGTATGTATGTATGTATGTATGTACGTATGTATGTACTCTCGACTAACATTAAACCTAAATAAAGCTCTCCCCAACCCCTCTCAAAGGTTCATAATTGTATTATACAAAAGCATTATCACCGAACTAGCCCGGCTAGCTCAATCGGTAGAGCGTGAGACTCTTAATCTCAAGGCTGCGGGTTCGAGCCCCGCGTTGGGCTGTTCAACTTCCTCTTTCCCTTTGCCCGGCTAGCTCAATCGGTAGAGCGTGAGACTCTTAATCTCAAGGCTGCGGGTTCGAGCCCCGCGTTGGGCTTTCTTTTTTTTGCGTTTTTATTATTTTCCTTATTCCCCCGCGCTTGCCCCACTAGATAAGATAGATATTGATTGAACATGATTATTTTATTATTACTACTACTACTACTTAGTTACTACTATCTACTCTACTGTTGAATAAAGTGTCTGCTTGTAAAGGATTTGATCTTCTGTCTTCTTTCAGCGATAGTGGAGGACTACATGGTTGATAACTAACTAGTAAGGTATGTTCGTGTGTGGGAACATAGTATAATAACATTTTCTTTTTATGCAATGAGTATTGTTCTTGTTAAGGGGTAGACAGTTTACCGGGTTTCAGCTTGCTAGGGGGTATCTAGATGCTACTTGTCTATGTCAGGAGAATGCTTTCTGCGAGAGGCATCAATCATATCAGTCTATTGCATGCTAAAATAAAGTAGGTAGTACACTTGCTAGCGTAGCGACTCATCAATAGTTCCCCCCATAGTAGTCCTGACTATGTCCGTTCCCACGTCCATAACTAGAGTAAGAACTGTAAGACTGTTCCTCGTAACCACCAGGCGGGCCCGGAGGAGGAGGGGTGCGACCAGGCGGTGGGTAATGATGCTGGTGACTATGGTGATGCTCCCCATGGTGCCTTCGCTGACTTCCATTGTATTCATCATAGCCGCCGTATCTGTCAAAGCCAGA